TTGTTTTTCTTTTCAATTCATAAAATATGTTGTTTTTGTTTTTTGTTTTTGTTACTGTTTTTGTTATTTTTTTTTTGCTTTTTGCTTTTTGCTTTGGTTTTTTTCTGGTTTTGTGTTTTTGTTTTTCTGATTTTGATTTTGATTGTGTTTTTTGATTCTGATCACTTTATTGACATATATGAAATCTAGCATTGATTGTTTTTATTTGATACTTTTGTTTGTTTGTTGAAAATGAAAATACCATTTCTTTTGATCATTTTTCTTTCTACTATGGATTTTTCTTAAATTGTTTTTGTGTGATTGATTTAGAAAGTTTTTTTTAATGAATTGATGTGTGGTTTTTCTTTTGAGTTGATTCTTTGGTTAAAATGAAGATGAATCTTTTGACTGGATCAAAAATGAATTTGATTTTTTTTTTGAATTGGATTTGAAGATGATGGAATTTGAAGAGGTTTGACTGGAAATTTGGATCCTTTGGAAAGAAGATTTTGGTTTTTGATTCTGGTTACTTATGAAATTTAGCATTGATTCTTTTTATTTGATACTTTTTTGGTTGTTTGTTGAAAATGAAAATACCATTTCTTTTGATCAATTTTTTTTTCTACTATGGATTTTTTCTTAAATTGTTTTTGTGTGATTGATTTAGAAAGTTTTTTTTTAATGAATTGATGTGTGGTTTTCTTTTTGAGTTGATTCTTTGGTTAAAATGAAGATGAATCTTTTGACTGGATCAAAAATGAATGTGTTTTTTTTTTTGAATTGGATTTGAAGATGATGGATCTTGAAGAGGTTTGACTGGAAATTTGGATACTTTGGAAAGAGGTTTTGATCAATGGTTTTGAAAGATTTTTAAAGTCATGAATACAAGTTGATTAATCAATCATAAGATTGTATGGTATTCAACTTTGAAAGAGTAATACCAAAAAAAGAAAATTACAACAAAACATTCATCATACTTGAAAAAAATCATCTTGAAACAAAAACACCAGGAAGACTTACTTGAGAAGTTTATTCTTGGCACTGGTATGTGTAAAAGAAAAATCTCAAGAGAAGAAAGATTGAGGCTGGAATTTAAAAGGCTGAGAAATATAACTACTCTTTTGGGTACTTTTTGAACTACTTGAACTTTACTGTTAGTCAACACTCAATAGGTAATTTATCCACTTCAATATACCATGATCAACTGATCTGGCCGTTTCCAATCAAGGTAAGTCAGAGTATTGGAAGACATGTGAAAACTGTGAGCAGGATAATTGTTTTTCTGTTAGAGTTCACACACACTCATTACAGCTCATATCATTGATAACATGATGAAGTCATACCAAATACCAGAGCAGCAATACTTTTCAACACCATATGCCTGCTGAAAATCACCAAATGGTGTGACCAGTCCCAGCTGAAGAAGTATCAAACAAGACAAATCCAGTTGTGAAGCCTTGGAATATGCTATGCTTAGCAAAATAGAGACATTGTATGTGGAGAACTCACCAGTTCTTACCTACCAAGTGTCTATCTGTTCCAAAATGCCCAGAGAAGATATGAAGAAGATTTTCAGTCAAGATAAAAGTATAGAAGAAATTGTAAATCAAGAGATTGGAGTGTACATGGGAAGGTCACAATGTGCCTTTCTGGTCTTGGATCAATATGACTTAACCTTACATTGGATAAGATATCACAGGACAAATTATGAGTCCGTTTATGGAGTCTTGTGTGATCTATCTTTGATGAATGGAGGTACATGAGGCTCAAGGATATGAAGTTTCAAGCAGGTGCTGGGGTGGCCTAAAAGGGTGATTGGCTGGAAGATCTGTTAGGATACTCATCCAAACTGGCTGGATTGAAAGATATGACAACAATTTTTTTTAATCACTTATGGTCAGATGAACCAAAGATGTGGACCCATTAGATTCAAAGAAACCAGGAGATTATATAAAAAAGCTTTACAATGAAGTCAAGAGTCAATACAACAACAAAGAAATGATGTTCATCCATGCTGGATTGTTACCAAGTGCACAATTTTGATGAAACCTTGAATTTGAGTTAATTTTTGGCTGCAAAGTGGAATTAGCAAAGATGAGCTGGTTTCAAAGACCTCAGATAGACATAGACTGTAGGGAATCATCTTGGTTTCTTTTCTCTGGCCTGTGGGTGTTGAATTGTACCAAAATGGTCACAGTTCCTTTGGATAGCTGATTGTAAATTTAATGGATAAGTATGAACTTACTAATAGACTTGATTATCTATACTTACCTTAACAGATACACATGCAGCATACTTTAGGGCCCAATTTCAAAGAGAAAGATGAATCAAATATGGAAACAATTGTCAAGGCTGTTAATATTGCAGAGTATAGAATGACAGTTGGGTTTATTGAGATGATAAGATTAATTGATGATCAACACTTAACAGAATCATAGATGAACACTCTTATTGATCTTGGATGGGAATTCCTTAGTTCTTGAACTTTGAGGAAGGTGATTTTTTTTACCAAATCACAGCTAATCTCATGGAAAACAAGGTTAGAGATTTTCTGGAATGATCCAAATATATCTTTCCAAGCTCTGTGTAAACGATCCACAGGGCTTTCAAATATTACAATTCCAAAAACCTACTTGACAGCACATCTGAGATCATGGTTTTAAGAACCTTCTAATTCATACTTAGAGCAATGGCTTGAAGATAGTCTCACATTGAAGATGATGTGCTGCTGCTCATGTTTATCAAAAAAAATGAAAAGTGTGGAATGAAAGAATTAATGTGTAAACCTGGACAGACAGGGTTGAGTGAGTTTTAGATAAATTCAAAGATGTTACAAAGTACTAAAAAGGGCAGAGGTTGTTGATGCCTTACCTGTAAGTAAGCAGGAAAAAGAAAGTGGGTATATTGTAGCATATGAGTACCAGTCCAGGTAAGCAATGAAATAAAAATGAAAGAAAAAATGAAAAGAGCTCACTCTAAGCATCCAGATTCCACACAAGGAGGAGGGAAGAAGGAATCTGAGGTGTTCAAAGTATTTAAGAAACAGAAACATGTGCACAATTTCTAACCAGAAGCAAGGGGTTACAATGGGACAGGATCAATGCACAAACAGATTCAGAAACCAAAACCAAAACTATAATCCTCCATGGTAACCATTACCAAAATAAATATTACCTCCTTGTGATGGACTTAAAGTCTCACTCAATATTATCACAACAATATCCTTGTTTGATAACCATTCAGAGGCCCATGCGGTGCTCTGTCATCAAATCTTTGCACCTTGTCATTTGTGAACATACCCATTTATCTCTATATCTTTGAAACTGGTACAGGATAGACGTAGACTCTTCAAGTTGTAAACTTGTACTGAGAAATGATACACACTTTATCCAAAAGCTTCACATGACTTGGGTGCACAGTGACACCTTTGGCCTCACTCTCAAAGTACCCCATGATCTCCAATCCAGGTCTGTCCCCCAAATCTTCTTGACACACTTCATAGCCAGGTCAACCATCTTTGTTTGGTAATGCAAAATAGTCACAATAATGCTGAGTCACCACCAGTCCTGGATTTGGTCCAGCACTGAACAGTTACAAAGGTTTATGAACACCTTGTATAAGAAAACCGTTACCTGACACCGCGATAATCTTTAAGTGTGAAACCCGATTGAGCAGAGTTGCAGTGACTGGGTCCGCAACTTTCTTCAATCACCAATCTTGTTTGCCATAGGTTTGCTATAGGTTTGCTGGCTTGCCTCAAGCTGCCCTGTAGCAACATACTCACAGTGAGCTGTTTGATCTTGCTTTTGTCCACAGTTGCAAGATCATGCTGATTGGGTATAGCCTTCCCTTTGACACAAGAATTTTTGTAATGTGAGTTGCAATTTCCTTCGTGGTATGAAGTTGATTTTGACTTGGATTCTTTTTTCTTTTGGAGCTTATCAGATTCAACACCTGATTTGGTGTTTGATGAGGCAGTTGGTGATTGACCCCTTTATTGGCGACTAGTCTGTGCTTTCTTGGGCATTCTGATAGTGTTATGAGGTGGACTGGGGTCAACGCCCAAACTAATCCGACACAAAAGTCGGTATCGTATTGGTATCGTGTTGCCAATCCAACATCAAAAGTCGGATTTCTCCATATTGCTTCACCCGACCCGACATGAGAAGTCCCCTTTTCTCATATCGGGTATCGGCGACGCGATACAGGATGGAGGCAATTTGGCTTTTTCCTACTTGAAAAGCCTTGCAACCAATCTTTAAGTACGGTATCGGCTCGTATCGCTTCAGCGACACGATATGGCCGACCGAATTTTTGGATTTTTTTTTGTCCTCATATCGTGTCGGGTATTGGTCTGAATATATGGGTTGGCCAATACGACATGGAAACCCTCCGAAAAGTCGTATCGTGTCGGATTGGTTCGGGCGTTGCTGGGGTACATACATACCCGAAGTTGACATACTCAGCTCAAGTGGAGAACACAAGGGCAGCTTGAGGCAAGCTAGCAAACCTATGGCAAACAAGATCCGCAATTGAAGAAAGTTGCAGACCCGGTCACCGCGACTTTGCTCAATTGGTTTTCACACTTAATAATTCCCACGGTGTGACTCTTTATACTTACGGTTGAATGTTCAACCCAAGATTTGGTCTTGTTTTATCAAAACTGACAATGGCTGTGGCCTGCTGTGGTAGTATTTTCCAGGAAATCAAATTTGTCGATCTTGTTGATGGAGGTGATTAAAGGATATGTGATTGAAGGAAGATGTAAGTCCTTACAGAATGCATGCAAATCGGGTATAGAAGAATGCGGATAATGCGGAGATGAGATGATGAGTTGACAAGTGATGATATCATGATGACAAGTCGCCATCGGATCGTCCATGGGTATGTCCATACATAAGACCATAGTCCGCAACTTCGGTTTTCATGACCCTTCCTTGTCTTCAATTGATATCTCTCAACTCTAAACCTTCTCAACCTACTTCGTATCTCTGAACGGTAACCAAAGTACACAGTTCATCATGCCTTGGCCAGAAAAAGCTCCACCACCAACCTCGGCATTATCAATCTATCGTATCCTTTCACCTAAAGCAGGTTTAAGAGTTTCACCATTATGTTTAGGTGCCATGTCAATTGGACAAGCGTGGGGAGAGTATGGTATGGGAGCAATGAATCAAATCGAAAGTTATAAATTATTAGATGAATTTGTTAGACTTGGTGGAAACTTTATTGATACTGCTAATGGTTATCAAGATGAAGAAAGTGAACGTTGGATTGGATCTTGGATGAAGGTTTGTCAGATCATAAGATTGAAGATTGCTTTTTGTGTATGTTCAAGTCAAGTTTATTTGCTAAAGATTGGTTTTTGAATTTTTCGACAAAAAAAGGAACGTAATAATCGAGATCAAATAGTGATCGCTACTAAATTCACGTCTTTCTATCGCGGAAAGGATCCAGCGACCAAGATCCGTGTCAATGTGAGTCCATAATAACACCTTTGGAAACTGATCACATAAATCTCACAATTCGAATCCTTTTTTTTGCATAGTATGGGGGTAATGCGACCAAGTCTTTAAGACTTTCAGTTGAAGATTCATTGAAAAAATTACAAACGAATTATATCGATGTTCTTTATCTTCATTGGTGGGATTGGACTACTTCAATTGAAGAAGTGATGCAATCTTTAAATAATTTGGTTAAAGAAGGAAAAGTAAGTAGGATTGCTTTTTTTCATGCTCATATATACAAGAAGGAATGAATGAATGAAACATGAAGGGAATTGACGATTTGATATCGATTTTGGTATATAGGTTCTTTATTTGGGTATCTCTGATACTCCCGCTTGGATTGTTTCAAAAGCGAATCAATGTGCGTTCTGATCCTTTTTAATTCGACAAGTCTCAATTACTCGATAATTGATCGTTAATTCTTTTTGTGTCCATACTTTCTTGGAGGAGGGTTTAGATGCTCGAGACCATGGGCTTGCACAATTTGTTGTTTATCAAGGTCTATGGAGTGCGATGTTTCGAGACTTTGAACGTGAAATTATTCGTAAGTAATTGAACCTGAAAAATTGAGCATGACCGATTAAGCTTCAAGAAACGCGAATTGATCAAAACCAAAAATGGAATCATGATTTTACTATAGCTATGTGTTTATCTGAAGGAATGGCTTTATGTCCATGGGGAGCACTTGGATCTGGAAAATTTCAATCAAAAGCAGATTTAGAAAAACGTTCAGCCAATGGAGAAAGTTTAAGATCCATCACTGGTCCAAGTCAACAAAATGAATTAGAAAGAAAGATTTCAGAAACCTTAGAAAAGATTGGAAAAGAATTAGGAACTGATTGTGTGACTGCTGTGGCTTTAGCTTATGTATTACAAAAAGTTCCTTATGGTTAGTACATGATACTAAAGATTTCCTGAAGAATAACTTTTTTGGATGGATTGATGAAGAAAGCTTTATGAACTGATCAACTTTTTGTTTTCTTTTGTAGTTTTCCCGATTATTGGGGGTAGAAAAATTGAACATTTAAATAGTAATATTACTGCTTTGACACTTTGTCTTACAGAAGACCATATAAAAGAGATCGAAGCTCAAACACCTGATTTTAAATTAGGATTTCCATATGATCAAGTCAGCTTTCCAAAGTTTCCTTTAATACTTTTCTTTTTCTTTTCTATTTTTTGATTTTTTTCATTGATTGATTTCAATGGTTTTGATTTAACAGTTTGGTGTGGATGCGGCTCTTGGTGGTGTTACTCCTTGGCATTTTGATTCAGTTGGAAAATTCGGATTTGTTAAACATCCTCAGGTAAGCATTTGATACTAAAAAGTTTGAATGTGGGATAATCAGACTGTCACAAAGATTGATGTTCATTGAACTAATCAAAATTGCTTTGTTTTTGATTACTTATAGGCTATCAAGCCTTCGGAAGAAGTCTTGGAAAAATCTAAATAGGGAGTTTCTTTGATATCTTTCCAAATGAAGACATATATCTATACATGTTCATGATGATGAGTTGTAAAGTAGCTTGATTGGTGTGATTGTAGTAAGATTATTCTTGATGATCAAAGTGCCCTATTGATAGTGGTTTTGACAAATGATGTATGGTATCTAATTATACCGAGTTTATCTTACACATTATGAAAATTGAGACTATGTGATATATGAAGTTGAAGGTTAATATACCATCAAGTTACTTATCTGGTTCTCAATGTGCCACAATTCTCCAAAGACTTGACTCACTTCGCAGTCAAAGTCATGGCCAACACACATAGAATTTTGAACATAATTTCAAGTAAAGTTGTCACTGGTTGTTGTTCAGAACTTTGCATCAAACATTGTCCATTGTGTTTGTTGAATTTTCTGTGTCGTTTCCCAACACGGTTTTCACTTATAATAGTTTTCTTCTTGATTCTTGATCAACTTCACCATTCTCATAGGTTGATTACAACCTGTATACCCTCGGCTTTTGGCATGAAGATCATTCCAGATTTGCCCTGCTTGGATTTACAGCCTTTATCTTTGACAAGGCAGACAAGGTGTGGTGGCTACAAATTTGTTCTCATAGATATATTTCCCTGTACAATCAACCAAAGACAATGGTTGCTCTGACAGAACCTGGTAAGGATCCTAGTTTAGATTGAAGCTTACAAAAGAAACACCCCAGGGTTGCTATCCTTGTTTATACTTACCGGTGTTGGTCAGGATGACAGATATACCCAGAAACTCGTAGTTGGCTTCGAAGCGATGCATCTATTAGGTGGAGATCTGCCTCACCGTGATGACTTCACAAGGAGAACCAAAGCAAATTTACAATCTCAAGGCAAATACATCAATAGAAGATCAGTCAAATCTTATGAGTGGTACATCCTTTTGCTTTATTGTTGGGATTGTGTGCTTAAGTATATATATATAGCAGGCAATGGATAGGCACACAAAAGGGAGATAGGAGAAATATAGATGAGTTATGAGATGAGATACCACGATAAAAAGAGCTCGGGGGGAAGAGAAGCGACAAAATAACACAAACGGCCTTGCTCGAACTTGATTCATTCGGGAGAAGAGTCATGATAACAAGGGCTTTTTTCTTTTGCTTTGGTAAGTAGTGATCAGGCTATGTGTTAGCCATGTGATAAGGTTTTGTTTCAAGGAAGATATCAGAGCAGAGTAAGTAATGATTTTTTATTGGCTATCTTCTTCCTGGACCGTTCCAACTCGGCGCTCCTTTTCGCTCTCTGAAGTAGGGGGACGAAGCATTAGGTTTTCCCTGAAGACGAGCAGTTGACGAGCAGTTGAACACTTACCTAGCTGATTGTAAAGCAAGAAGAGAGCCTTTTCATTGGCTTCCGATGATCCGGTAATCGTAAACATACGTTCACCAGTGTCATCGTGAGGAGTTTTGGCGATAGAGATCCTGGAGCCTGACATTCGTCGGATTTCATTGATCTTGGCTCCTCCTTTGCCGATGATACACTGTGGTAAAAGACCAGAAGTAGCTGTCAGCTATAGCTATGAAGAGCAGACTGATCAATTGAACACATCACTTACGCCAACCATATCAGCTGGAATCGAGATGTTTTGGGTACGTAGGAGGCGATCAGCAACAGGAGCAGGCGCAGATGCGAGCGAATTTTCCCTCGAGCGATGTCCGTTCTCGTTGCCGTTCGAGTGGTAGGTTCCGTTGTGGGGACGTCTTCCAGGAAGGTCTCCTGCCATATGGCCACCACTCGGCACACCGCTCCCAGCGCGACGAGCACCACCATTTCCATAGCCTTGGCCACCAACCCCGAATCCACCAGCAAGGACACCACCAGGATACGCCGCTGTGACGCCATCAGGGCCTAGTGCGCCAGGTTGATATAAGACGGTTCCGTGAGCTCTTTCCCAATCCTCCATCAAGCATTTCCCAATCTCATGAATCGCAACTCGGATTGCTTCTGGGCTGCCTTGGACCTCTACGACTCTCTCGGTAGATTGAGGTAACATTTCCTTGCTGGCTACCATTCGAACACCAGAGATGTCTTGGATTTCTTTAATCTTAGAGCCCTGTCGTCCAATGATGGATCCCATGAGATTGTGAGATACCAAGACTCGGATCGCTGTCGTCGTGGCAGTTGGAGGTGGGACGGTGAGTGAGGGATCGGTGGCTGCCAATGGGTTTTGCAAGATTGCATCGGCTACGATCGAATAAGCCTGATGAAGAATTGAGGCATGAGTCTCAATGAGAGTTCAACAAGGAATGTAGAAATGAGAAACTCACTTTGCTAACACCTTCAAGGCCACCACTGACACTGAGGACTCGATCATGAACGCCTTGGACAGCCTTACTGACACCGGCTTTGGTTCCGGTCTGTTCACGGATCTCAGCGACAGTCTTGCCACCCTTTCCAATGATCACACCAGCTGGAAGAGCAGATGAGAAGAGACAAAGTAACGAGTCAGCGAGATATTCGAGTGACTAAGCAACAAGGTAAAACGTACCTTCTTTGGTAGAAACGAGGGATCGTAAGGTGACGTTGGAGGTAGGATCAGCGCCAGCACCGGTAGAATTGATCGGAAGACCATTGCTACGAATGGATTTATCGGGTGGGCTCGAGAGGGTGGGAGAGGCGACGGTAGCCATTTTCACAGGCGAGGAAGAGAGAGAGGAAGGGAGAGAGAGAGGAGGGAGAAGAGAGAGAGAGGAGGGCTATGAAAGGGTAGAGATGGCAAATGGTCGAAGAAGAGAGGAAAGAATAAATCGTGAGGAGGACGAGAAGGAGACGAGAGGGAGGAAGGAGAGGATTGAATCTTAAAGGTGTATCTAGATCGGGTGGGTTTAAATAAGAGACGAACGGTAAAGAGAGAAAAACCACACACAGTTGACCGATCACACACAAACAGTCAACAGCCAAGTCAAAGTTCATGATTTTTTTCAATCTTGATGCACAGTCACGCAGCAACTCAACTCATTCAAGTTCAAATCAAATTTCATGCTTCTTTCAATTCATCATCTAACACTTCATCATCAATAGATCTTTCTCCTATCATTCAAAATGAAGATGAAAAGAAAATGAAGCATTGGCATTAGGGTAACCAGCTGGCAACTCTGCGAATTTGACACTGTTGATGTGAATACAATTGGCAACCAAGAACAAAAATAAGGGTCTGGCCGGGAATTGAACCCGGGACCTCACCCAGATCGGACCTGCTCCAGAAGAGAAGGCCTGCCCTAAGGGTGAATCATACTACTAGACCACCAAACCGATGACGTCATTCACCTGTATTGACTACTCATCACGCTCTCTTTGATACTTGACGTCATAAAGTACCCGTCATTCTGAACACCCCGCGATCACAGCACTCAAAATTGAGAAAATTCACCAACGTCTCGCCGGGCATCATGAATATGACGACTCGATTATCGGCTTTTCAATCAAACCCAGCCAGCTTCATCGATTACACAATCTTAAAGCCAAATGCTACTGAAAGTGAGTCCATTCTTTCATTTCATAAATCATGAAACTTATCGTTCTTTGATTTGCTAGATGATATCACTCAATTATGTGAAGAAGCGAAAAAATATCAATTTAAATCAGTTTGTGTAAATCCTTGTTGGGTGAAGAAATGTGTTGATTTATTAAAAGGTACAAACGTGTTAGTTTGTACAGTGATTGGATTCCCTTTGGGTGCGAATTCGAAGAAGATTAAAGTGCGAGTTGTTGATACTGATCTACAAATGCAAAGAAATTTCGAAGAACAACTGATATTCTTATCATATGCCTTGCCTGACTTTTAAAAGGCTTACGAAACCAAGACGGCTTTGGAAGATGGAGCTGGTGAAATCGATATGGTGATGAACGTAGGAAAATATCTCAGTGATCCATCAAAGGCAGTCAAGACGCTCGAAGAAGACGTAGGAGCCGTGGTCAATGAGCTCAAAACAGCCTCTATCCCACTGAAGGTCATCATTGAAACCAGCTTGTTACAACCTGAACAAATTCGACAAGTCTCCCAAATCTTAGCTTCGATTGACGGTGTAAGCTTTGTAAAAACCTCAACAGGTTTTACAGGTCCAGGAGCTCAACCTGAACATCTTCAAATAATGAGAGGATGCTTGCCAGAAGCTATAGGAGTCAAAGCGAGTGGTGGAATCAAAACTTGGGAAGATTGTGTGAAGATGATTGAAGCTGGAGCCAATCGGATTGGAACCTCATCAGGTGTTAAAATTATGGAAGAATCTCATAAGAATCAATGTTAACATCTCCCAAATCTTTCTCTAAAGTCTCTTTAGATTCGTTTGATGCTGTTTTTACCTGAAAGTCTTTTTTGGGGCGTCTGAAAATGTATGACTTCGGTTGAGTAATTTCAGATAGCTTACAAAAGATGCATTGCTCATTTCAAATTGGGACTACTTATTTGGAAAAAGAGGAGACGCATACCATCGAGAAATTAGGCTTATTGGCACCTACCGTTGTAAATAAATAGACCTTCTCTGTGTTGATTATCGCCTGAAAGTTCACTAACTACATAATTCTAACTTGTTCAAAAACATACTCTCACTTGAACTGTTAGCCATCCGTTCTGACTGGTTCATGGTCACCTTTGAGCAACTGGAATACCACTTCAATGTAAATCACCACTGTCTCACAGATCATTCTCCTTTTATAATGTTTTTGTCTGGGATTTCAACCGCAAAATAAACACGAAAAAAGGCGAGTGATTGAGATAACTAGAATCTTTAAATGCAATAGGGTGAAGTACTCCCTCATTGTTGTTCTGTGATAGGATTGCTCCAAGGGCGTAGTCCGAGCAATTGTACTCAAGCACGAATGGCTTATACAGGTTGGCGATCTTCAGGACGGGGGCTGTGGTAAAGGATGTCCCCAAAGTATCAAATGCTTGTTGTTGTGCATCACTCCACCTAAAGGGTATTTCGTCACAGGTAAGATCAGGGAATGGTCTCGTAATACGTGGAGATCCGCTCAAAAACCTTTGGTGGAAGTTTGCGAAGCCAAGGAGGCGTTGGATCTGCGACACGTCCTTTGGCGCCGGCCAGTCGCTGGAGCTCGCTGGTAATCATTTTCCTAATTTGAATTTCCCTGGGCTTGAGCCATATGCTGTGTGATTGCAGGATCCGAAGGACTTCCTCTACGACTTTGTCGTGGTCTAAACCCTCTGATGTATAAATGGGGGGTTGTCGAAATACGCCGCAAGGTCTTTGCCTATCTTGTGCCAAAAAATCTCCGATATGAAGAACTGAAAGAAGCCTGGCCCTCCAGTTGCGCCAAGCGGCATTGTGAGTGGCTCCAACTGGCCCTGCTTACAGATAAATGCCAACTTCTTCACAATGTCTTCCTTGACTCTTAGGGCGCGTTCACTTAAGCAATTTCTGGTGAGAAATCACATTCTGCAAAATTTAAAGTGTCTATTTGGTGGTGTATGTTTCATTTTTGCATTAAGAATTTTACAGAATGTGATTTCTGGTCAGAAATTCCTTAAGTGAACGTGCCCTTAGGTTATTGTATCTGTTACGCATGTCAAGGGAGGTGAAATTTCTCGCATCATGTAGGCTGTCTACCAACTCCATGGTCAATAGTAGGGGTATGCATTTTTCACGGTTACCGAGTTTACCTTCGGTAATCAAAGCAAGGCCATAAGTTTCCATCTTTTTTCCGGCAAACAAGACTGGTACTACTGCTGTCAGTCCTCGAGTGTTTCTAGCTGAGAAATCACCAAAAGAACTTCTCAAAATCATACCATCACATTTCATTTTAAGTATCATACACGAGTTAAGAGAAATTCTCTCAACAAAATTACAACATAAGAATCCAGTCTCAAAGATTCAAAATAAAATAATAAAAGCAAAAAATAATAATAACATCTTAAACGACCTAGTCTCAAAGGTCTACTAGAAAACTAACACGAATACTAAAGAAATCTCCAAGAGAATATATCAAAGACACACATATATATTTCTTCAACTAAGGAGAGAAAATTAAAAGGAACTAAAGAAAAGAAGTGTCAACAAGAAACGAAATAGAAATAAGAATGAATTGAGATATCACTTACCAAGATTATGATAACGTACTCGGGAGGAGAAAAACAGCAAGTAAAGACCCGGAAGGACCAAAGAGTAGCCCACTACGTAAACAAACTAGATCAAGGAGAGTTAACTGGCAATATAATCAGAATAAAAAATTACAAGAACCACTTAAAAGTCAAACCAACGCCACCGGCGCTCCGCCCAAGATAGCGGCAGCGGAGCGGTAGCATAGCGCGCGCTCCGCCCGCGCTAGGCCTTTTTCCATATAGCGGGTCCCGGGTTTCACTATAGCTATGGTGAAACCCAGAAAAATATAGCGGTTTTGAGATCCGCTCTCTATAGCGGTTTCTCGCTGTGCTATGGACCGCCACAGCGACCCCGAGCGCATAACAACAGGGCGCCTCAGAGCGCCCCATAGCGCTTCAGAGCATGTGTTATCGTGGTTTTTGTCAATATGTACATAACGATCTCACCAAACATTCACCTTCACACCCTCATAGCACCAACGACATTTCTTTACCTCCTCAAATTGAAGAACAAGATTTAGATCTTTCTATTTACTTCGGAATGATCCTGGTGTACGTCAATGTTTTGATCATACTAGAGAGTATCAGTTGAGTTTTTCTTTTCTCTTTGAAAAATAAGTGAACCCTCTCTATTGCACCTTCCATAGAAGCTGATGGATATTTGAATTATAATAAACGGAATAATCAAAAACTTGGCAATAATCAACATCTTCGAGGTAATAGTCGTAATAGTGGTAGTAGATCATCATCAACCTCACCACTTCCATCACCTTTGATCACGCTCCTACAGAAACTATCAATGATCATAATTCTAATTTACAAATCTCACCAGATAATATAAAATGAAAAGATGAATTATCACCTGGTCTTAGATTAAACATTAATCAATTCTTAAACTATCATAATTATAAGAGACTAGATCCTAATAAAAATCAAGGAGACAGAATGGTTAGTACAAGTTTGGTGCTAAGAAATCAAGTAAAAAGAATCAAGGTGGGTGAAATCCTTTGGATTGAAGTCGTTTTGGTGAACTCATGTGAAAGATTAAGAAAAACTGGTGTCTTTGAATTCGGAGTGATTGGAAATGAAATTATCGGATTGGATGATATGATGTTGAATCTTTCAAATCTTTGAATATATTGATGGAAGATTGAATGTTTGATAATTTTAGACCATTAGAGGAAGGTGAATCTGGTTCAGTAATAATTAGATGTGTAGCTATGAAAGCAGGAATTTGCTCTGTCTCTGTGATCAGAGAAAAAGAAATTTTAGAAAACAACAAATCAGATTGATGGACACTGTTTTGGTTGGAGTTGTAGCGTGAGAGTCATACAAACACATTTGCCTTTTGAATGCGGTATTATTGTTCTTAATTTGGATATTTATTCTTCTGAAGTAAGGTAATAATTTCAAAGCAAAGGGTATTTCAAACAAGTCATGATATCGGGCGTGATCAGTATCCTTTCTCTTTGTTTGATAAATCCTTTTGTTGAGATGATTGGGAGTTTCCAGGTAAATAGTTGCACAAAGCCCTTTTCAATGAAAATAGACTTTCTGGTATTCTAGTCAAGATAATGGTCCCTTTCATCACTCATGCATGATTTATACAAGAAGGAATCAGGAAACAACTTGTGATTCGTGAAGGACGTAAGATTGACATAAAATCATGATCATCACAGTGATGATGAAATTATTGTACAAAGTCCTTTAAAGGTTATGTAAGATAATCAATAGAACTAAGCGCAGAAACGTTCATTACAATTACTAAGACATCAAATAAGAAAGAATAATAAAGCCACCTTATGTGGGTAGACAACTAGCATGCATTTGAGCTGAGATCACCATGCCTACAATTATCACTTTGAAGAACCTTTGCCCATAAAGTCCTAAGAGAAGTCACATCTAAATCAATGACTGAATAAAATTCGATCCAAGACTGTGAAAAGATAGAGCGAAGTTGATAGAAGACTATTAACATAAATGTAAAACGAGCTGAGTTTGATGTTAAAAAGAAACTCGGATCAGGTGCATTTGGGTGGGTTCTTCAGGCTTTTTGGAAAACAAATCACTTCAATGCACAATCAAGAGAATCCCACGGGTTGATAGAATGAAATCAAGCTTTTATATGATCCCAATCACCCTTAAAGTTATGTCATTCCATCTACGGCTTCTGGAGAACTCAAGAATTCTTTTACATCGTTCTTGATTTGATTCAATTTGTAATTCAAGATCGTTTACAAAAACTTCTATAATTTTATCTTGAAATAAAATTGATTTGTTTAAAGATCATTAAAAGATTCAAAAATCAAAAATTACTTTCTTGATTTTGAAACATTACCATCACATGCAACTGATCAAGATAGATTACTAGCTGGCACTGATTTCTTTATTGATAAGTTTATTAATCTTAATCAAAGTCCTACTCACCATATTCGTATTTTTCTTTTCTTTTTTCTCTTTGACATTTTTAAGATTCCTGACAGCGCTTTTAGGCGCTTTCAAACGTGAAATTTTCCCAAAGCGGAGCGGAGCGATCCAAAAGATCGCACCACTCTCAGAAGTCATAGCACTTCAAAAAAGATAGCGGAGCGATTAGCTTTTTATCATAGCGCTGAATCGCTCCGCTGGCAAAATTTCAAGATATAGCGAAGCGGAGCGGAGCGCCGGTGGTGTTGGTCAAACCTTTAGTCTATAAAGAATTTACATAAAACTTACCTGTCACGGAGGGAGAACTAGATACTAGCTAAATCATCACAGAGCCCAATCTTATTGAGGAAAAACTATAAGAAGTCCCTATTCGCGCAAACGAGAAGAAGGGCATCGAATTTTACCTTTCTAGATTAAAAGAAACAGTTAGTGCTCTCTTCCAAAAAGGTCCAGCAAATGAACCATTAGAAATTTATAGTTACTTACTTTAAAACTCTAACCCTTCCTTTGTTCCACTTCTTAAAAGTAGTTCCCTAAAACAGATTTCTATCATCTTGAATTATCGTAAAATAAACGTACGAACAACTCTCTTATTCAGATTAGCGGATCAGTTACTCATATATTGATAAATTCTTTTCTCGCTTGATACACCGTAGTTAACTAGTTAGCTACCCTGCTTCGATATCCCGCTCTAAGCCTTCAATCATTCCAGATTCAGTTTTTTCGTCAAGACACCTTTTTCTTACTAGATCCCAAGTAAGTTTAGTTCTACTTGGTAAATACCGCAGTTCTCGCAACGTATAGTTGGCCGAGATCCCTGTCTATTTCTAATAGCAGGCAAATCTAAGCTTCAAGCTTCAGATATAAAACCCGGGTCTAGGATTGACCATCCTCTACTGTTTCCACAGTAGGCCCGTGGATTTCTTTAAACCAAGACAAATACTAGTTATAATCTAATTGGTATACTAATAACCCGTGTATTATTCGTGCTAGGTAATTATCACGATCTTGTGTATTCCACGTACCCAGAGGAATACGTAGTCAGGAACCTACTGTGTAAGTACTAGACCTTAACAGTGACCTTTTAAGGTAGCCACCCTGACAACTGCTGCCCAGGGTGACATTGTGCGTTGTGTTGTACTCTTTGCAAGTTCCTCATTGATCATTGTGTCTAGTGCTGCTTCCTCCGCTGGGGATTATGGGATCATCTTACCTGCCTGAGGTGTTGCACCAGCAATTAGGTCAACTTGGAAATAACAATGGATGTGAGGAGGTAAGATATTATCATGCTGCTTTTCTTGACCATGTTGACAAACCATTGATAGCAAGTCAGGACTAATTCTTCTGTTGATTTTACTGGTTGATATTTTGCTTTGTCTGCAGCCAATTCTGCCAACACATTCCAGGAGGCACTTGCTGCGCATGGCAATGGGACAGCACTGTATCTGGAACATTGAAGCTTGTCAACTGATTCATGGGTATGGGTCTTTTTGGTAAAAAACTCACCTTGTGGGGGCTTAATCTTTGTTCTCAAGATGGCCCACTCATCAACATTCCTAGCTTTCCCCATCTGGTCCTCAAGGCAATCTGGAGTGTTTGTCTAATCAGGCAACACCATTTCTACAGTTGGAGCTTTGGGATATGAGGTTGGATGTGGCCTTTGTTGATTCCTATTTTGGATCTATCCTGTGGTAGAAAATGTACATTCTTTCTCTGTGGTGGGGATAGTTTGTAAGGTAAGAGCACCCACTATGGGTGCAGCAAACATGAGTTTTATCATAGCTTTACTGCTAAAACTTACACAGGTCCAATATGGACCTGTCTTAGACTCACGGTCCATTTGGCTGCATCAAATCATGAATCAAGCTTGTATAACTTTACACAAGCTTGATTCATGTTTTATCTTAGGATTTGACACATCAAATCAGTCAACCAGGTCATCCATGACTTGGTTTTTTGAACTCTGCTCCCAAAACTTTGTTGGCTCACCACTTCAGCAACTCACACTTGACTATCTCCTTTTGACTTTCCCCTTCAACATGTTGGTTTCACCACCTGCCTCTAAAACTTCAAACACCAAACCCAATTTCTTGATATCTGTGGATACAATTCTGGGGAGGTGGTGGAGGTATAGGAGGCTTATTGAAGAGGAAATCAAAGGCTATTTGCTTGTGGTCTTGTTTCTCCTTGTTGTCATTCAAAGACTTAAAAAGAGAATCAATTGTTCTTTTCAATCAAGCAGGCATTGAGATGTGATTTTTTTGGACATATTTTCAAAAATATATGATATTTCAATTTGTGACTTTGCCACTGTGGGATCACCTGAATCACAGTAATTTATTGTTGGTAAATTACACCCCATCGTGCTTGGGACCACAACAAGTACAATAAAACACCCTCAATATAGTGGGTGCTCTAAGATTTCTGGATTCACATTTCAGGGGTGTGATGTCAGATAAAATAACAGCCCCCTTGTAGCTTTCCCTAGCAATCCCCTTCTGGGCCCCAAGGGAATCTGAGGTGTTTTTTTGGGTTGGGAAAAGCCTAGTTGATGGCTGTGATGCTGTGTGGTAGATCTTTGAGACATGGTTTTCCATTCTTTTAATCAATACATACAATGAATATTCTTGTGCAGCCATGGAAAGAATGGCATTGTATGAGTCTTTGATTTGGGTAACTAAATATCTTGTTTTTGATTCATTTTTTTTCAATGAATAGTTCAGAATCCTGTGCAACAGTACACAAAACTCAGTTGATGCCATCTACTTCTCTGGAAGTTTTCTGGGTTGATACCTGCAAGCCTGTTAAACTCATCAGAAACAATTCCCAGTACCACATGTGTCAAAGCACAATTGATCAACACATGAGCTTGGGTATGATCAGGGTTGGGGGAAGTGGCACAGAAAGTCTTGATAGGGAAATAGATGTAAACACACAAGAATCTGTCAAGTTCTTTGAACTTGGTTGTAAAGAATTTGATTCCTTCACTATTTGGCCCTACTATTGCCCAAGGTTGGCACATCAGTCACTCTCACTGTGAATATAATGTATTTTTACAAGGTGAAAAATGATTACATTTATTTCACAAAGTGATCAAAAATGCATCAATTCTGCATTAATTCTGCATTTTTCTGCATTAATTCTGCACTGTTAATCATTTTGTGCATTAAACTCAATCATTTTCACCTTGGAAAAATACATTATTTTTGCAGTGTCTCAAGCACTGCCTTCTTTGGACCAGTCCACCCTTGAATTGTTACCTGTTAAAGCACCTTCTGATGCTGCAACTTTGGCCTCCAATTCTACCTCCTTGCATTTTCCTGGTCCTTTCCTACCACTGGCACCACCCTCATGTCCTCTTCCTCCACACCAACAACCTGAATGACCTGCACTCTACACTTGAAACCAATCCAATGATATTCCTCCAACAATATGTTGAGCCTTGCCAATAAAATGTCTATGGGGACCGTGTCTAAAGTTGGGCAATGGTAGTGGGATCTACAATTTCACCCCTCAAGGAATTGTTTATTTTACATGCCAGTTAGGGTAACTGCAATCCTATATAATATATGAACCCAATTGCTAAGGCTATGTGGAAGTTTTATTATCTCCCTGTACACACTCCTCTTGGTTCAATGTGAGACTCAAGTCTAATGATTTTGTAGATAGTCTTGAAAGTACAGGAAAATATCTGAAGGTGATTCCAAGTGCTGCTTTGAAGTTTCATTTGATAAACCTCAAAGCTTTGCAAGGTGCATTTGGAAAAGAAAGAAGACTATGACCTACTATGTATAATCACATATCAACACAAGCATGTGTGCATTGCATCCATGGCAGCTAGATTTTAGTGCCAAAGTTTACCAAGAAAGAAATTCAAAGGGTCTTTAATTTGTTTGTTCATCTGAAGCCACAATAATTTATTTTGCAAAGATCAGAAGTTATAAAACCAAACTTGCTCAGAAGTGAAAGGTTTCCTTGGCCAGCCTTGGGCCTAGACAGAATTTTTCAGTGAGTTGCTTGCAAGAGGGGTGGTTAAAGAGGGTTGATTGATGTGCCCCATTGAGAAGCTGAATGGGACTGATTGAATATTTACATAAGTTAAAGGGAAGAATGAGATTGGGGGAGTCGAAATCTAAAAATATCAATTTGATCATCAAAACCTTGGGAGAACTTAATCAAAAGAAAACTACAGGACCAATCTCAAGTTTTGTAAACTCTTCAAACTTCCAAACAAGGAAATCACCTTCAACATCAAATCATTTGGAAACGGATCGATCGATTAATTGGATATGAGTGAATCCAATAAAACTCCATCAAGACCACTTCTTAATTCAAAACAAAACTCATTAAGGACTCATGATCCAGAAAATATTAAAGTCATTGTTAGGTAACTTCACCCGCTTTCAATCTCATCCCTGCATATGAATCTGAAAAACTAACTCTTGACTTTGTTTCGAATGAATGTTTTACTCAGACTTAGACCTACTTTACAAGTTGGACTCCAAACTTCAGATCGAGCTTGTCCTTCCCCTAATTTGGTATCTCGTATAAGAGCCATTCCTCTTTACGATCAACCAGTCGAATGTCCTTATACACTTCAACCTGATCAAGCTTCAATTTTGGCTGGTGGATCTTGGTACACGTTTGGTCAGTCACTTTTTCAAATGATCACATCATCCATTTCTAAGCCTTCTCATTCAAATCTTATTTCCAAATGAAACAGCACCCTTTATCTAATCAAACATTTTCCTTACATCAATTCATAACATACAAACAGATGGAGTTCATACACCTTCAAGTACTACGGGAGAAATTTATGAAACACATTTAGCACCTATGATTCGAGATGCAGTAGAAGGTTATAATTCCACATTATTTGCATATGGAGCTACAGGCAGTGGAAAGAGTCATTCAATGATTGGAAGTGAAAAAGAAATCGGAATCGTACCTAGAGCGATAGATGATGTGTTTGATTTAATTGAACAAGATCAAGAAAGAGAATATGTGATTAGAGTTTCATATTTAGAAATTTATAATGAACAATTAGTAGATTTACTTTCGATTGATCAACAACCCAATTCGATACCAAAGATACATGAAGATCGTCAAGGTAGAATATTTGTTAGACCATTAGTTTCCACACCTTGTGCTGATGCAGAAGATGTGATGAATTTATTGATCTTGGGAGAATCGAGAAGAAAGATTGAATCAACTGAATGGAATCAAAGGTCTTCTAGAGCTCATGCAATCCTTTCTTTGGTGATCGAAAGTAGACCAGTGATTGGTCAGATTGGATTTCCTATTACTTCAGATTCGATTCGAGAAGTTACACTTAATACTCAATCTCGTCAACATCTTTCGACGGATTCATCTTCTCATACTCATGAAGGAAATCATGAAACTTTAGATGCTGAAATGTTTCTTGGTACTGGACCTGGTAAACTTCCTATCACACCTAGTGTTGCTCGGTTTAAACAACTTTCCAATAAACCTAATCCTTCACCAGATGGTAGCATTAGAATCAGTCAATTGGTAAAGTTTTCTTCCATCAATCAACAGATCACCTTCAAGAATCCGGTTCTTCTTGATAACTAATTTGTTTCTTTTCTTTTGTGTGGTGAATTCCAGAACCTTGTGGATCTAGCTGGATCCGAGAAATTAACAGATAACGAAGCAAGAAATAAAGAAGCAGGTTATATAAAAAAATCATTATTAGCACTTCAAACAGTCGTCTCAAGTTTAACCGAATTAAGTAGTTCAACTTCTTCAAGTAATTCAAATAGTCAAAAACATAGATTACTACATATTCCATATCGAAACTCACAATTAACTAGATTATTACAAACTTCACTTTCAGGTAATGCTAAAGTGGCTTTTCTTTGTACGATTTCACCTGATCCAGATTGTGAAGTTGAAACACTTTCTACTTTAAGATTTGCTGCTGGTGCTAAAAAAGTGGTCACTAAAGCTGAATTAGGTCAGGTGGTCGATCGGGCTACTTTATTACAAGCTTTAGAATCTAAGGTTTTGGAACTTCAAGCTGCTCTTTTAACTAATGCTGATTATACTGAGGCACTTGAACGTGAACGTGATGAAGCTATTGAAAGAGCTGATGGGGCCGCCAAGATCTGTGATGATGTAAGTACTCGAGTGTTATTTTCTTTTCGGTTTGATATTTTCTTTCTAGGCATTGATATTTGTCTCCAAATGTAAAACGCAAAGTATGAAAGCAAATTAGCAGAACTAGAAACACTAAGAACACCACTGAAAGAACAACATGATCATTTGCGAAGGTTGATCTTGACTGGATCACCACATAGTTCATATGCTAATCAAGTCACAATCGATCAACACGCTTTGAGTCCGAGTACAGCTGCTACGATTGGACCACGAAGAAGATCGACTGTTAAAAGAGCTTCTAGACTATCTGAAGTGGCTATTGCTACTCCTAATTCTACACCTGGTTCTAAAGTTAGTTGGAAGGAGTTATTATTTGGTGATAGCGTTTCAGCTGCTGCTGTATGTTTGAATTTTTTAGTTGTTTGACTTGGCTTTCAAGTCGTTTAACCAGTCAGTTTGTTAGTCTGCTCTAACTTTTTCTTTCTTTGGTATATAGCATACGAAAAAAGATGTGGTGGAACCAGAGGTTAAACTAGAAGGAGACGGAAGATCACAAGATTCTCAAGAACTTCATCTTACGATTGCTAAACTTGAAGCCACTTTAGCTGAGTCTGAAGATACACATGCTGGAGAAGTACGAGACTTTATTCCTGTTTCTTGATTTGGCGATGTTTTTTGACGAAAAGGAATTTTTCATTTGGGTTGTAGGTGTTTGAATTGAGAGCTGAGATTGAAAATTTGAATACGACGATTAGGGAAATGGAAGAAAAAGAAGAAGAAAGAGTGAGTAAAACTCAAGACTGGATGTATATATGAAAATGTAAAGAAAAGGCACTGATCATTTGGTTTTGGTTTGAGAGTAGATCATGGATTTGAAAAGGAGTCATGAACAAGAATTAGAAGATCTTAAAGGACAAATCTCAAGATTAGAAACAAGATTAGAAACAGAGGTATCTCTTGGTACCTTTTTTCAAAATTAAACTATGAAACATACATTAATTCAACTAAGAATTCTTTTGTTTTGCCTTGATGTGTGTGTGTGTTTCCTAGAGGATAGGTAAATTGAAGACTTTGATTCAAATCAAAGGTGAAGAAGAAGAAAATAGAAGATGTTCAGAAATCACATTGAATGGAGAAGAATTAGAAGATGATCGAATTCCTACACCTCCTTCTCCTATAATCGAAATGAGTCCTAAAAAGAAAAAAAGAGGTAGGGTAGGTAAATCTAAAGAAGGTAAACCTAAGATCGGATCTGAAGGGAGCAGACCACAACAAGTTAGAAGGTCAACGAGAGTGAATTCGAATAAAGGAATTGATACCAATGAGAATGTAGGATGAGATTAGATAGATGTGCATTAGAGTTTATTGAGTTTTTGTTTGTTTGTTGATTGTTTTTTTAGGTTTCTTATGTTTTTGTTTTGTTTGCAAAAAAGTTGAAGATCATCAATTTTGTGAAATCCGTAGAATTTTGTAAATATATCATCATCATCATCTTATCATTTAAATCGTCATTTTGTTCCTCTCATCATTTTCTTTTTGGTCAACGTTTAATCAATCATCTTTTTTCTCACTTTTTGATATTTCGTTTTTACTTTTGTTTTTCTATAAATGGACTTTGAATTATTATGATCATATACCTCTCTTTGTTATGCTTCATACATGTCTTTTGCAAATCATCAAATCATGAATTGGCAACTTGATTGGATTCTTTTTGTGAATTCATGGTTACTTTTTTTTCAACGTGAACTTCATTATCGATTATATCACTTTACAAAAAAGATTACAAGCTCTTGAAATTCAATAAACTCCCATGATATCGTTACATAACTTTAGAAGTAAGACATAAAATCATCTGGTCCATTCAATTTGAAGGGTTCAGTCACAGACTGTAACCAACTTTCACCAAAACGAGGTGTAAACTGGGAAAGAATATAAAATGATTATTAGAAACTTCAAATTCAAAAATGCAAGCACAAAAGAATAGAAGAAAAATAAGAAAATATGTTGTCCTTCAAGGTATCAAAAGAATTGAATAGGTTGATTAATTATGGGAAAAAAATAAAAGATGAAAGACGAATAAAAAACTTTCTGGTGCTTGGAAGACCAAAGGAACAAGTATCGAAAACAAGGATAAGTACCAAGAAGATTAACTTAAAAAAAAGAATCAAACTTACTTAACATTAAAACACTCACAAACAGAACAAATCATCTGGCCACTCCAATCATTTCTCTAGTATCAGTATTAGTATTACGACCAAATTGAGCTTGTTGTGCAGATTCAAGTGAAATCAATTTAGGTTTTCTTGTAATGATTTGATCATGAAAGAAATCATTTGAAGTATAATTTGTATTTGAGATTATATTAGAATAAGTTGATTGAATGATGGCTTCTGCTTCTGTTTGACTATCAGGTATAACTTTAATTGATAAATTCTTTTTGAATTGTTTTTTGGATTTGGTTTGAGGTTTTGGTTTGGAGGTTGGTCTGGATTTTTTTAGTTTACGTCTGGTTGGTGTGGTTGGTGTGGTTGGGGTTGATTTGTCTTCTTGATGAGGAGTTTTTTTGAAGATTTTAAATCCTTGAAATCTCATTTTATCTTTCTGAGTTTGAGTTTGAGTTTGTTCTTCGACTTTTTGAGGGGGTTGAATTGGATCGATTTCTTGGGTTTGGTTTTGATTTACTAAGGTCTTACTAAGCGATGCGTATGACCAAGGACTCCAACCCATGAGAAGTTCTGCAATTTCTTTTGAGAATTCTGGATTAGGATTATCTTCTGATTGGTTTAAAGAATCTGTTCTGTCTTCTAACAAAAGCAAGAAAAAAATCAATCAGTGGTTTGTAAGTAGAATCGGATTAATTGGAAAAAAGTGATAACTTACCATCTAAGAATTCTTCTTTGATTTCTTCAGATCTCTCTATTTCTTCAATATTTTTTGGATCCAAATTAGGACTTGGAGGAATTAAGACAATAGTAGGTAGTGTTGAGGATATCGGATTGAAATTATTTAATTTCTGATCATCATTCTCATCTTCATCTTCATCCGAAGTAGTATAATTTAAATTATTTTGTAACTTGACAATCGAACTCCAATCGTCATGATAACTAGGAAAGAGTTGTATAACCTTTGATGAAGTTTCAATTAAATTCACAGATGATGTGCTGTTAGTAGTAATAGCCTTGGTGATATCGAAATCGAAAATTGGGCTTGGTTGGGAATTATAATTTAGGGAAGAAATTCTATTCAGACTGCTTTGATTTGATGTAAGACCAGGTATGAGGCAATCTGGTATAGCAGATATAGAAGACTTTTGAGGTATATAACGATTTGTGATCTGATTTGAGCTTCCCAAACTTGGATTGATGAGTTGTGATGAGTTTTTGGGTTGTTGTACTGGTCGCTTGCGTGGTGGTCGCTTGATACAGTCAGTAGGAGTAAGAACCGAACTTGATGGTTTCGAATTCACATCAATCTCATTCAGAATCAAAGCTTGATTTTGAGTTTTTTGATTCTCAAGTTGTTTTGGAATCAAATCAAATTCACCTAAAGTGCTTGATGTTATTGAGTTAGACTGTGATTTTTTAAGTAGGATTAGAGAATTGGTATGATGTAGAATTGGTCGCTTACGAGATGGTGTTGGTTTTGCTGAAGTCATCTCTATACTTGTGGAAATTGATTGATTCTAAGGAAAGTTTTGAGAGATAGACCGCTAGTCTTATTAAAGATTGAGCAATGATGACTTGGGTAAAGTGGAATATCGACGAATGATTTTTAAAATGAGTGTGTGTTATAGACAAAAGGAGGGTTGCAGAGAGAGAAATGACTTGAAAGACCCCTTTATGTTAGAACAAGAGTTACGGTTTGGTGGATTGTTTTGAATTTGTAGATAGAAAGGAGTACTATTATCATTTTTCTTAAAAGGTTCAAGTTGTACTTTCTCAGAATGCTCATTACATTTCATCGATCTTCTTCTAAAGAATTGTCATGGAGAAATGAAATCAAAACTGAAAAGCTCAGCAAAGAAAAAGTGAGCGAAAAGTTAAGCCAGGCTTTAATCGACAGCTTTAATCATTCGGAATGTTTTTCGGGTGCTTTTCAAAATTATCGATCAGTCAAAAGTACATCTTGACTTTCGAACCATTCCAAATCGATCAGGAAAAAGAAACGTTGAACCAAGGTTCCTTGAAAGGATAGAGACGAAGCAATACAAAACCTCAGGTAAGTTCCAATGAGTTCATCTCTAGACTCTATGAGGTATGAAATCTTTCTATGATATTCTTTTCAATCGATACTCAAGCAAGACCTAGAGTGCTCTTGCCGGAAATCTTCCATTGTTCATAAAGCCCCTCTGCGCGGCTACGTCCACGCCCTCGCAGAGAGGGCTTTGTTGAGCTAATTTCAATTCGATGATCAAGTCTTGATTTCTCAATATTATTATCGGGGTATCTCGATTTGAAGAACAGGAATGAAACTTGACATTTTCCATACCCAACTTCATCTGACCTGAACCAATACGTTGAATTTGCACTTGATGATGAACCCTTTGCGATATCCCTGGAGCTATTCAATTAATTTTAACCATAAAACCTTATCAATCGCTTGACCTCAAAATAGAAGGTCATATTGACGCCCAAAGAAAACTAAAAAGTTAAATCTAAAATAAAATTATCCGCTTATCAAACTTGAAGAATGATCACATTTTTGATCTACACTTTTTTCCCAAATCCTACATCAAGCCCTTTCTCCTATATCAGTCGCGTGATTAAAAAAAGGTATTCCGTTGCGGGCTTTAAGAGAAATCATGAGGTTGAAGATCTGATGACTTTTTAGGATTTGATATATATGATGATGATGATGATCCTGAGTTTACGAATGTCGATATATACCCTATTTCCACTGACAGCCAAGAACCAGAAAAAAGGGTGAAACCGAAAGTAAGTCACTCACAATTTTTCATTTTTTGTTCATCTCGCGTATCAAAGATAAATGCTCATCTCGAACCTTTCCCTCTCCTTATCTCTCAATCTTCATCTTCGTCAAAATCAAAACCTCAATAATTTTAATTTCCTGAGTTGAATTTCAAGTTTAGTTTAGATCTTCATCTTTCCATCAAATCTCCTGATTATCAGCGTCACAACAAACCTACTTTTCTCCATTCTTACATACTTCATCCTACGGATTGGGTTCGAGATCTTTGAGATTATATTCTGAATGTTCATTTTTTTTCCAAAAAAGAAACTTCTTCGATTTATAAAATAGTTTGATATCACACTGATCTTTAAACTTGGTCTCTTTAACAAATCAACAAATCAACCCGCCCACAATGTCGTGCCTTACTCCCCTTCTGAGATCACCTAGTCGTTCATCTTTACTTCCTGCTGAACTCGCTCAGATTCACTTAAATATCTCTCAAAACTTGTCAGTTTTACTCCTTTTGACTGATTTCCTTACAAAAAAAGAATGGAATGGATTCCATAAATTGCTCAATCTGTTTTTTCTTTGTATTCATTCTTTGAGTAATAGGTTAAGGGAAGCGCAATTATTGGCTCAGGTTGACGCGATCGAAGCCGAGTGGTAAATGATTTTCACCTACCAAAAATAATATAAATGGTTAGGAAAGAAAACTGGATATAGTTTGATGATTATTTTTATTTTCCGAAAAGTCAACAAGCAGAATTAGAACATCGCTCAATCTTACAAGAAATCAATTCCAATCTCACAGACGAAACAATTAGTAAATTCGATACACCAATCTCAACCATCTCAACCATCCAAGTACCATCACCTCTCATACCACCTTTACCATCTCCTATGGCTCCTCCTTTATCATCAAGAGGTCCAGTGATGATACCAGTAGGTGAAAGTAAAGAGTTATCACCATCAGCTTCATCGCTTTTAAGATCTTTATGGGCTAAGATTGGTTATGAAGGATCAGCTTTTTCTGGTATGCAAGTCGAAATTTCTAAAGAATTATCTCGTGCGGATTTTGCTAGGTTTGAAAGACAGATGCTTTGTAATGAAATCTTGAGTCTGAGACAAGAGGTAAGTGTTACATTTTTCTTTCAATCTTGAATCATCTTTCCTGGTCGATTTTTTTGATATAAATATGATGGATGTAATTTTGGATTCAGAATCAACTAGTTCGACATGAAAGAGACGAATATCATAAAAGAGCAAGTATAAATCAATCAAATCTAACAAAAGTAATAGCAGCAGAAGATAGAACCTTCAAAACATTAATGTCAGAAAGAGAAATAGCTAAAAATGCCATTCAATCAGCACAAAAAGGAGTAGAAAAGATTGTCCTTGCAAAAGACAAAGAAGTTCAAAAATCAAAAGCGTTGAATGAAGAACTAGAAAGATTAGATCAAGAAAGAATTTCAGCATTTAGGTATGCCAAAAATGCCGAAGAACAAGCTGCAATAGCTAATTTGACGGCTAAAGCTGCTACTGCAGTTGCAGTTAGTGCAGTAAACTCACATCCAAATACACCACGTCTTTCTTCATACCACAACCCGAATTTAACTTCTTCTTCTTGGGCTTCACCAAGCGCTTCCTATGCTCATTCTTCATCTTTGGCTAGTCGGTCTCCTTATCCAAATCATTCAAACATACCAAGCTCTAGTTCTTATAATACTGGTGTTGAATCTGGTTGGAGTTTAGATGATGAACAAAAACTAATAGCCAAGATGAAAGAAAGAAAAAAAGAAAAGATGATTTCAGAAGAAAGAAGAGCGTTGAATGAGAGAATGTATTCTAGATTAGAACTTGAAAAGTTAGGTGCAAACTTGGTCAGTGTCTATAAATGATTGAATCCAAAAAAACAAACGTTTTTAAACGATTTCTTAATAAACTAATAAACTTGTTTTCTTATCTTTCTTTTGATGGTTGGTTTTACACATTTATACGGATTTGTGAAAAGCCTAGTGTTTCACGTAATCCATCACCTTCTTCAAATCAACAGTATCATCACGATCATCCTCCAACCCCCAAAAAAGTAGATTGGAATAATCCATTGATAGGTTCTAGTAGTACTACCGCCAAAAGATATTAGGCCAAATTTTAATTTCAATTTCGAATCTCTGACTCTCTTGTATCTTTTAAGCTGTATCTGTAGTGAAGTCTTTTGCGGTTATCTTTGAATAATTCGGTTTTGTTTTCTTTTGGCGTGTTTGTTCTTCATGAGAATGTAGCGGCTATGAGGCTACAACTGTACAGGTTGATTATTTGTTATCTACTTACTTGTTTGACCAGGAGTCTATCAGATATAATAATATTGAGGAATTACAAGTCACGTTTTGTTCATAAAAATCCGAGAGCGAGAGAGAAGCCCAGTTAAGCGCCTCTTTGAAAGACCACACTCATAGCATTGCTTTTCGATCACGGTAACTGTAACATGGCTGTGATGAGCAATTATTAGTCACAATGATAAATATCCTTGGTTTCGTTTTGATCAATCCCATCAAGTGTTTGTTGTCAAATCGTTTTATAACCAGAATCCAAATCAATGTACCTGGGTCATCTTCAATCAATCACCATTTCTTATCTTGTCTCATCAACTTATCACCAACGGTGATCCTCAGGCCATGAACAAAGAGTATATATGAATCTATTTCCTTGAGATGCTTTTCGATATTCGAATCCTATCCCTTTCATTATCTCGTTCCTCATCAGACTCCGCCTTCCAGTGATTTTTCATCTTTATTTATCTTTACTTATCTTCATCAATCTTTTAATCTTGTCAGTTGATTCCAACCTTTTAAGAATGTCAACTTCACACAGAAAAGCAGAAAAGCTAATGAGGAGTTTGCAACAAATTTTGAATTCGAAAGATTACCATCAGGAATGGTGTCACTCTATAGAAGCTCTACTCTCTTTATTAGATCACAAGTAGGAAATCAAGGGGCCAATTTGCAGGATCAAGATAACAAATTCAGCTCTAAACATGGCGTCCTACTCGCATCGGGATTCCTCTCACTCTTCTTCTTGATCAGCTCAGTAGGAGTTGGAATCTTATTCTATAGATCTAGAAGCATCAAATCCACTTCAAAACCTTTAAAACTTACCAAAACTCCTCAGCAAACTGATCATTTAGTCAATCTGATTGCCAAACCTGCTGATTGTTGTCGATCGATAGTCAAAGATGATATGCGTGCAGATTGTATTAGAGGTCATCCAATTCAAATCCGAACAGGTGTTATTGATATACGATCTGATTTAGAATCAGATTCACCTATTTCTAATCAATCGAATCTGACTTCACCAATCGAATGTTCTAATGAGAGAAGAGGATCAATTAAAACTTTACCACCACCTCAATATGCCAAAATGGATCCAGAGACTACCTTTGTTACCTTATATCCTAATTCTCGTTTAGTTCCTGATGAATATCTATCTCATGAGGAAGGTCATAGTCTGTCTCACATTGATTGGCCCTTGAGGGGATAAATGTATGTAAGAGTTTTGTTCTTCCTTATGTTTCTCTACGCTTTGCACTTCTATCAAAATTTGATTCTTACGGCCTGTTTCTCTCCATCTGAAGTCTCAGTTTCAGTTTGTTATGGGTGATTAGGAATTCTAGTATCTGCTTTTCTTCTTTCCAATCTACAGTTGTTGTCGTTTTGAACTCATTCACCTGTGATGATGTTTTTTTTTCATTGTTTGCATGTCCGACCTCTTAGACTAGAATATCAATAAATATAATTCCCATTGTTCCAGAAATGTTTCCATAAATGAATAATGATGAGGAGCAATGATGAACTCAGATTTCGCTGCTAGTGCCAGCATCAACGCCGTCCTCGGATAGGCGGCGCTGAGGACGAGAAAGCCCGAGTAGATGATCCGGCCAGCTGATCACTGGCCACTGCGATCCCTCGGATCTTTTACACCGGTTCCCATTTCGCAATCAGAGATATCTCGATGATTTGGTAAGTGTTACTCACTGTGCTCAATGTCCAAGTTTGCAACTGCTGATTTTGATTTATCATCAAGGTGTCTGGAAGACGCGTCTCAGCACAGCCGAATGGTCATCAGGGCTGAAGAATATTCATCAGGCTCGAAAGGTCTCAGCGGGCACTGAGACAATGCCCTCAAATCTTCATCGCCTTCAACATTTCATCGTTGGGCATGTAGGGCCAGATCACCACCATACAAACGCTAATCGCTGTGAAAGTTCCATAATTCTGACTGTTTCGATGGCCGAGGACAGGCTCCGCCATGATCGGCGTTTCCCCCCCCGCTTGCTGAAATACGAAGAGTGCTCAACTTCAGCTTGCAAGCTGGATGGGAATGAGCGAATCACGCAACGTTGTTATGCGATCTACATCTCTGCATTTGGAGTCAAAGATATTTGGATCCGCACATTCGTGCTCGACTCCTTCTCGCTGACTCCAGCTCGAACCCCATGGTGGCTGTGCAATGGTATCTTTAACAGAATTGCATCGTAGCATGCCAACTTGATCTGTTCCTGGGATCCTGATAGTAAGACCAATTGCGCGATCAATCAAAATCGATGCCCACAAGAGCTTATAAAGGATGACTCGAACATATCGATAGAAACCCACCTTCAGAAAAACATCTCTCAAAGTCGGTTGTAACTTGTTTATACTCATAATCAAATCATTTTTTCATCTTATTCTCCGACCTATCGACGCTTCAAACCAAGCAAATTGAAGAAATGGGGTCTCAACGTCTGAGTCTGACTTTATTAGTCGTTGCAGCTTTTACTGCGCAATCTTTTGCGTTACCTCAATTTGCTAGTCGAGTTGGTGCACTTTATTAATCGTCTTATCTAGATTGCTTACTTACTGAAGTTTAATTTGCATGTTGATTTTACTTAATTTAGATTGGAGCGCGTTCTGGTGTTGAATTTTCTAGTAACCCACACTTTGAAGCGCGAGGTATGATACCCCCCACGTGAGATCGAGATTTGTGATCTATGACTAATTTTGATTCACTTTACTAGCCACAAACGGCTTGCTTGGGGATGTGACGGCCATTATCAATGCTATTCCCAGTGAGAAGACAAATCTCTGTTACATTTAATCACTTTTAATTTCTGCTAAACCCATTTGACCTGATTTGTTTAATAGCTAGCTTCAACTTGGCACCTGTTGTCAGCGTAGGAAGAAAAGTTATCCCGGATGCTGCTCATCCATTCATGGTAAGTATCTTGACTTTTGGGTACCAGCTCAAACCGTTTAATGATCGTTTGTGTCTCTCGTTTGGAACAGCCACCTGGTCCTACTGACGTTAGAGGTAAGGCATTGGACACTACGTTATTGCTGGCCTTCAACCTCGGTAGGATTTTCTCACATTTTGGTTTGTGTTGTTTTGCAGGCGGATGTCCAGGGTTAAATTTGTTAGCCAATTACGGATATGTGAGCAATTTGATTTCTCGACTCGAAGATTTAACGACTCAGATGAATCACTTTGGCAAATAGCTTCCTAGGAACGGGATCACCGATATGACCACATTGCTGTACGCGTCCGAAGAAGGCTTAGGGTAAATTCTTTGTCTATTCTCACTATCTTCCAAAATTGAACTGATACATTCATCTCATGTTTATTAGCATGGCACCAGACTTTGCTTTGATTTTGGTGGCCTTTGCTTTAAAGACATGCGTAGATTTGACAACGTGAGTGTCGATTTTTGAATCACCGATCACTTTATTTCGCGATCGTGTATTCTGAGCGAAAATCTTTCAAATTTATTTCTACATTTCATTTAGCCTAAAGATGTCTATCGGTGACACAGATGCTAGAACCGATGGCCCGTTGACCCCTTTGTTGGGAAGAGCACCCGGATTATTCTCCCCTGCAACGCACAACGAATATGAAGGTCTGTACCGTTTTTCAAAATATAATTTTCGTTTACTTGTATACAATTCTAACATCGAGCATCCTATACGCAGTTGATGGATCTTTGGCCACGGATGACGCCTACTTTGCGGGAGGCAAAACCAATCAGTTTAATGGTTCTAGATGGGCAATCTGGTATGATCTTGCAGGCTAGTGTTTCTAAAACAAAACTTGAGTCTATAATCTCTTCTCAAATTGATTGTATCGTATTTACAGAGGATGAATATAATGGGACAATGCCTCTTGAGTGGAATGGAGATGTTAGGTTCATGGAGGTATATTCTCGTATCTGACTAGGTAGATGGAATAGAAAAATTGACTCATATGCACTTCCACAATCTTAATTTGGTATTCTGTAGTACAATCTGTGTCGCAATTTGAATCCTCAATGTCATTGGGTGAGTATTGCATTCAAAAACTTTTTTAAAATCCGTCAAACTGACTTTCTTCTGTGAATGGATTTATAGGCTGTCGTTGACCAGTAAGAGATCTCTTAGGCTTCCTTTTACGTTTCTTGGAAGTTTATTTAATTTGCATGTAATAGACTTGCGTTCTATATGGCCCAAGCTTTGGTTCCATCTATCATGCCATCGTCTGGACCGAATGGATTACCCGGACCACCATTGGCGGATTCTATCAACGAGTTCATGGGAATAGTCAAACACTCGGATGGAACTTTTACTCGTGGGAATGAACGTTTGCCTCATGGTCCAGAGGGTGTCTGGTTTAGAAGAACTGTACCCCTTACAGTAGGTCTCAAACTTATGAAGACTTGCATTCTATAAGCTTCATTGACGTCTTCTTGCTCTCCAGGGGGCCGAGTTCGCTGCTAATGGTGCTGCCACGCTGGCTCAACGTGAGTTTCACATTCATTTTTTGTGGTTTTTGGATTTCAAACTCTTTTATTGATGCTAACTGAATTCAATTTTCTATAGAGTAAGCTACTCTTTTTAAATCGCTATTCATATCATAATTTGCCTCCCTCGCTCTACACATGCTTATCAATTTGGTTACTCGCGGATCTGAACCTCGTCGTTTTGATTAACAGTCCGGTACGTCTTCTTTTTCTTCCTCGCGCGTCTTCCTCGATATGATATTGATTCACATCATCACGATAGGTCCAATTCGGTTCTAATGGTGGAACACTCGGAAATTGGAATGCTGACCCAACTCACCTGCCCAACGTGATCGCCGGTCCTGAACTCGCCTGTACATTATTGAAATCGGTGGGTATCATTTGAGATGATGGGCTTCTTCTTTACTTTGCGTGATACTAATCCTCCATTTGAATCTGGTCTTTGCAGGCTCTTGATCCCACTGGGACTAGATTTCAAGGAGTTGCTCAAACTTCACTCAACACCTTGCTTAAATTCGTTTTAGCGCCTGTCCAAAATCAATTAGGTTGTTAGAATGTAGTTGTTCTTTTGGCTCCTTGTTCAACAATAGTATTTTTGTTTATTTTTGTTTATGATTAGGTTTGTATCGATAGATTATGTAGTAGGTCCGAGTTCAGTTAGCTTTCACTTTTTCCAAACACAAAAATCCTTTGTATCGTGAAGAGCGTTCGTGTAGCAATTTCTAGTACCTTCAGCTATCTCCTTATCAAATGTAGTATTGTAGTATTTTCAAGGGAGGAGTTGTTTGTACAAAGTGAAATTATACATCCCATTTATCAATCATCAAACGCATTTGTCAGATTCAAGTAACCTGACAAGTTCACCAGGTACGCTTTATCTTACCTCTTTGATCATATTAAATTTCGAAGGTATCGTTTTGCCCTGAACAATGTCTCGAGTCAGCTTTTCAGGTGCTTCAACCCGGAGGGTCGGAGGGGAACCCCAAAGGCTGTCTACCTCGGAACTGGGTGCGTAGCAATTTTGGGAAGCCGTCTTGTCAACCTAGGAGCTATCTAGGTTCGGTTGAACCTGAAGCACCCCCTCAATCAGAGCTCGTGCGTTTTTGTCTTCAAGAAGGGACGTTTTTGAGTTTACCACCTCGATGTGCTAAGATTAATCACTTGTCACGCCTGATTATATCGTCATTCTCGTCGGATCGCGGTAGGATGTCAATCCTACAATCCCAAGGAAGACCAAAGTCTGGCTCGTGTCGAATGACCCTTGAAGCACTGCCTGCAGAATGCCTACACCACAGATGTGTTTTGCCCACCTACAGGCGGTCTTGCAAGGCCAACCGCAGACGGCCTACCTTTGCAGAGGGGCAGGCTGTCTCCAGGTGGCCCTCACGCGCGACGCCTGACAGGCGCCTGCAGGCCAGCATTTTCTTGTCGTTTTTTTGGCGAGCTGCAATTCGCCTTCCAAGTTCTGACGGTGAGCTGGCACTATTGCCCGACACAATCCGGCGGTCATTTCACTTCTCGGCCACGTTTAGCCGGTCCGAGGCAGGCGATTAGGATATGCTTTAGGCTCCCGGGCCACTCGGGGTCGGGGCCAGGCCAGGTCAGCTAATGGGCACAGCAATGGCTACGGGTAATTGATGATTTTAATTTCACACCATACAATTTCAACCCACAAGGATTCCGGACCGGATGACGTGATATCGAATAAAATATACTTGTAATGTTGAAATATGTTGTGATGTGATCTCTTAATCAAATCTTATCTTTTTTAAACAGGTAGTATTATCTTGTTTGACCAGTTGTTTGAGCCTATTCCACCTTGAATCCCCTCAATACTTGCCATGATGGCATTCTCAGCCCCTTTGCTCACCAATAAAACTCAAAGTTAGTCAGGTTGTACTACAAACACATCAAGTTATTGAGCTGGACCTTGATCAAGGTAAACAACAAGTTTGGAAGATAACCTTCCAGACTGTTCTTGACAGCCATATAGGCTTCCAGCTGGGGAGAGAAAAGCAGCTTGAGGGACAAAGGGTTCATCATATCCTAACATGATGTATTTGGTAGGTCAGCATTGCAAGGGATTTATTGATTACAATTTAACTGTCTAAAGTTTCTTGCTAGAGGCCCATTCTTTGCGTGGGGTGGGTTCAACTGGGGTGGCTGAGCTGTTCACTGGATTAGCTACAGTGTGAGCTTGTGCCTTTGCTGGTGCAATTTCAGATGCAGATGCAAGTGCAATTACCACCCTGGTGATTGTAGCCAGTTGGTCAGTCAAGGTGTCAATCTTGCCATTGACCCAGACAATCTCCATCAGGGGTTGCAACTGCGCTTTTGCTAGAGCCAGATGGTGATTATTTTCACCAAAGACCTTTGCAATTGGAAGCAGAATTAGACCTTCAACAAGAAATCAAATAAAACACAACAAAGAGTGGGGGTGGAACTGAGTAAGGGTAAGTCACCTCTGCTTGAGCCTGAGCATATTCAAGGAATTCCCCACCCAATCCACACACCAGCTTTCCATCTCTTGGAAAGTTTTCATCAAAGGCACAGGAGTGGGGAAGCAAAGTGAGTCACACCAGGATTATTTTCCAGCCTACCACCATGGTGTAGGTTGTAATCCCATGCCTAGTGCATTTGGAGAGGCAATGCTACCACACACCCCATGATTAGACCAGGAGCCACCAGCTTGCTGTGATGGCAAAAGAGAACAACCATCTTTTCTCAATGGTTTGGATGGTTGTTCCAAGTTGTGTTTGTATTTTGATTTGGAGTTTTCTGGGAATTGAATCCTGGTTCATTTTGCCCTCTAGGTGAGTCAGAAGGCCCTGTCATGCATGATTTGGAATGTTCAGGGGGGACAGTGTCAGTGTAACAATACTATATCAATATGCAGGAGCACCTGTAGTATCCATAATCCCAAAGTGGTTATTGAAACCTTGAATCAAGCCTCCTGGAGAGGCCAATTGAAGGCCATTTCCGTGCCCTTGAGATGCTTGGTGATTGAATTGACCCCCTGGAAATGGAGGAAATGCACCAAAATGAATGTCACAGACATGGGGAGGGTGTCTTTGACTTACAAAAATTGAATGATGCATACATGTTCATGTTGATCCTGGCAGGTACAAATGTTGGGGAGAGCAAGCACAAATTTTTATTGGTCTGGTGGAATGATGGGCATTGTGATATCCAATGTGAAGCTTGCCCAACGGTTTGACAGCAGAATAAAACATTGCTGTCAAAACTAAAGTTCCAAATCTTTAGAAAGCCAGTTTTCAACAAAAAAACAATGAGCCCAAGCAGAACTTGTAGCCAAACGTTGCTGAACCGCAAGCATGAGCCTAAACAAAACAAATTTTACCTTGGTTTTTCTATAGAGTTGCAAGTTGGTAATTGATTTCAACCCCATTGTCTCACTAATGAGTGATGTAATGGTTACGTTTGCCAGTTCTCAGTAATTCAGACCCCAACAAAAGTCCTCAAGTTAGGCCAATGAAGGAAGAGTCTGCCAAGTCAACACTTAAATTACATTTGGACAATGGCACTGTGAGGGCGGCTGAACAAAACTTTGGCAAGGAACCTCTCATGGGAACAATGTGGACAAAAAGATTCTTGATACCAATGATGGGTTAGGCAATTGCTACCAACTGCTCCATAAAGTGGATGGACCATGATCTCATTGAGGTTATGTTCTATGTAGATTTCAGTGTGGATGGGGGCTTTCATTATTTTGACTCTTCAAAAGCTGATGGCAAACACAACTTTGAAATATTACCTACAATTTCCCATTTGGAAGAACAAGAAATTGAGAATGTGCTTCTGATCCTTCTTGTCAATGGAGTCAATCATTTCAAGCTGTTATTATTTGTGGATTATGTGAACAGAGAACTCTTGCGTGTATGGGGGATATCATATGTACCTAGGGCTTGGATTGTGGTTCATGTGGTATTGGTTTATCAATTCCATGTACACAAAGGAGCATGATCCTTTTTTTGATTAGTTTCAGGTTTTTAACATGCAATTCAATCACAATGTTGATTGCTCTATCTTGTATAATGATATCAGTTATAATCATATCAGTTGATATGATCAACTCCTTTCTTGGTATTGTAAGTTGTGTAATCAGCACAGCTCATTGAACATTATTGTGGATCCATTGTTTCTATGCACACAATGTAAGTAAGAAAGTGTCCGGAAAAGCTGATGATAATGATACATGTTGATCATTATTGTTTGGCTCAGCATATGTAGCTAGGGAATGCCAATGCAAAGAATTACTGCATGACCACTATCAGTTTAGTTATTTTGATTGTTGTACACTATATGGTATGTTGAGGCTAAATCATCATCATATATTTATAATCATAACTGGGTCTCAAGTGTAGCCATTTGCCATCATTTTGCCCACTTCTCAATAGTAATATTCCTCCTGTGTAGAATTCTTGCCTTTCTTTGCAGGACATGGTTCTACTTTCCAATGTTTGAGTCATTTGTGTATGCCCTTGTTCCATTTTTTGGCTGAGACGGCAGCCTTTTGAAGCTCTGAAAGCTGGAAATGAAGGTTGCTAGAGTAATCTGATGTAGCATTAACAATGGAAGAGTTTGTCTTAACATGTATTAAACGCCAGGGGACAATTTTTGAAACTTGCCACTCAATCATTTTGTGAGCATTCTTGGCCAAAGTGCAATGGGAATAATGGCAGTTATGTTAATGTTTAGCACACACAACAGTGGCTCTCAAACCTGGCCTAGTTTCAAAAAACCCAGTCGACCCAGTGGAATTTTTGGCTGGGAGCTGTCAACAAATGTCAACTTAATACACAAAGTTACTGCCAAAAAGTGAACCGCGTTAACTGGGTTTCTGAAACACAGGTCAGGTTTGAGAGCCACTAACACCGTGTCCAGGTAGTGTTCGCTCGTCGACGAGCGCGCACGACTTCCCTTTCTGCCTCAAAGGGAGTTGGTGTGCGCTCGTCGACTAGCAAAGCCTACACAGACACGGTGTAACATCCTGGGTATGCATTTCAATGGCAGTCTCATCATCAGAAACATCCAAAAGAATCAGTTGGAGAAACTCTCAACAACAGGAATGCCTTTGACAAGATTAATAAACTATGAGTTTCACAACAACAAGTTGACAAAGCTTGATGAAGCAATGATAAGAAGGCAAACCTAAGATTTGATAAGAAAATTTTTCAAAATTATCTCCCCAGAAATTCAAATAAGAAGGATCAAAATTATCTACCAATCAATACACCTTTGACAAAAATAATACACTATGAGTCTCATGATAGCAAGTTGACAAAGATCAATGAGAGATGAATAAGAAGGCAAACCTAAGGTTTGAAAAGATAAAGTTTAAGAGAGAAATTATAGCACAAGAATAAAAGAAAGTAACACAAATTAAAGTAAACATAAATAGTTAGTGACTCAAATAATGAAATTGAAGAAGAAAAACAAAGAGACATTACCTTTAGAATCATTTCCCCAGATGGTGGGGAAAAATCCCAAAGGGGACAGAAAGAGAGACTACATATAACAAGCAACAAAATGAAAAATATGTCGAGAACAACCCCCTTTCATACCAATCCAAATGCCATTCCAATCAATATCTAAATTTCAGGTAAGCTAAAGCACTTGCACCTCTTAGTTTGTCTTCATTTGCCATTTTAATCAAAATCACATTTATCCTTTGCTTGCTTGCTTGCTTCTCCTTTGACAACATTCAATAATACACCTTGCTACAACATGAAATCAAATAATTTAACAGTGAAAGTCTTGACCCAAATTACTTGTACTCTAACAACATTATCTGGAGTTTTGTGGTGGATAAACTTACTTTGACATTGTTGATTACAATTGTTTCCATTAATTTGACTTCCTGTGTGTCATAGAATTTGTTGATTTGACCCTTTGGACATATTTTGATAATCAGATGGGTGTGGAAAGCAGATACCCCATCTAGCTTCCAGATAGATGGTACTTGGCCAATTGTGCGAGGGGAGTTCACCTGCAAGTTAAGGGAAGATGTTGAAGATGTTGGGTTACAAATAATAAATCAATAACAAATTAAAAATTGATATGACAAACCAGAACAAAGTTGTGTTTTCATGCCTTGTGTTACAGTTTCAATCTCTTACACCACACCAAATGACACCCTTTCCCAGGGGTATAGAAAAGTAGCTTGAGAAGAATTTTGAGCATATACATATTCAAATATATTTTACATGGGTATAAAAAGATTGTTATCTGCCGGTATAGAACAGCATAGTTTGTATGGACATAGAGGAGTTTATCTTTATGGGTATTGAAAAGTACTCTACCCATATTTTTCTATGTGCACACTAATTTTCTATACCCCTGGGAAAATATGTCATTTGGTGTAGTGTTGGGAGTATATACATAGTTGAACAAACTGAGATAATATCATGAGACAATGTTGTGAGATCTGAGTAGCGCAGGAAGCCCGCCAGGTCTCTTTATGATATTTTCTCAAGTGTGAAATTGTGTAATTGCACGTTACACTATCCAAACAAGTTCAGAGTAGGCAGACTATTGTAGTCTATTCAGCTGAAGAAATTATTGTCTTTGATATTTACGTTTTTGATGAGAGGGAATCCGGATTGCTTGGCCCTGGGCGATCCTCGGGTCAGCTCGTCGGGTGCTTCACCCCGTAGTGGAAATCGACACTTGCCCAATGCCTATCTCGGATCATAGGATCGGGCGAAATTTTGATGCTGAGGGAAGATGAGAGAAGGCCCTTGGTTCACTTGTCACACCTTATCGTAATCCTCGCTATCCGCCGCAAGAATTCCTATTCCAACAGGAAGGCCGAAAGCTTGCTCATCTCGAATGACCCTTGAGGCACTGTCTGCAAGGATTGCCAGAAGCACAAAATCCCAGTGGATGGCAAACCCTTCGCACAGGATCTCGGCGAACTTGAAAGGCTCTCTTCAGGAAAAGCAATTTCACCCATCATCTCAAACACAAGTTTGGGCACAGCGAAATTCCAATATATCAGGGTTAAAGTACCTCGTGCTTGAACGCTCACAGCGAGCCTCGCAGAGAAGAAGTACATCCTTCAGGGTGTTGAGCAGAATGCGCTTGAGCCTGCTTGAGCTCCACTCAAGTGACCATTTCATTAATCAGACACCGCATATAGGGTCAGACGGCCCACATAAAAATGGGTCTTGTTCTGCCAAGTTCCATACTTGGAACCATTTCGATCGATGTTTCGGGCACGTTCACCATTCTTATCAGAATGTGCATTCTGTAAATTTCAAATTGCAAAGATGAACCGTACTCCACCAAACCAACACTTTAAATTTTGCATGTAAATTCTCACTTAGTCTTAGGTGAACGTGCTCTTCCTCTTGTTTGCTGAAATCCGAACGGCGCCCAACTTCAGCTTCCACACGCGTCGGGCAAGAATTAAAAGGACACACATCATCATAATGCGCTTTAAATCTCTTCACTCGGAACCAAATACTTTGAACTCACAGAGTGCCGGTCGACCTGAGCTTACCGGACCCCAGCTCTTCGTAGCTTGACTCTCAGCTGGCATTCAAGGGGCTTTCGACTGGTGAAAACAGCATTGTAACGTTGCAGATCGATCTGGACCTGGAAGCCCGATTCTATAAACGTAAACACTCAGGATTTATCACAGTACCAACATTAGCTTCAAAAAGACGACCTTCAGTATATCATTCAAGAGCCTTGTTTAGAAAAATTGGGATTCTTGACATATTTACAACTTTGTGACCTCATCGTCTTCTGCCTCCTTTCGCACAAACTCTACCAACACATTACATTTGAAACGCAAAAATGAGGACTGAAATGTCAAGATTGATTGTATTGGTCATCAGCACTTTCACTATGCATATCGCTGCTTTACCGCAATTTGCTAGTCAAGTTAGTCAAATTCCTTTAGCGTCTTCTTCAATTTTTTAGTACTTTCTGATATCAAATGATTCTTCTTCAAGATCCGCCCACGTTCCGGTGTTCCATTGCCCAGTGTTTTGCGCTTTGAATCCCGAGGTACGGAAAAAAGATTCAGAGAATGTATCGATTTTAGCTAATTGCGATATTTTTGGCTAGCCTCGATTAAGTTGCCTATAAATTCAACCGCGATCTTGAATGCTATTCCCAGTGAGAAGAAAAATCTCTATCATAGCTGATGACCTTTTGTTACCTGATACTAAATCCTACTTGACCTCATTTTGTATATAAGCCAGTTTCAACTTGGCGCCTGCTATAAGTGTGGGAAGAAAAATCATTCCAGATGCGGCTCATCCATTTATTGTACGTATTTCGACTACTCGACCCACGGTTTGACCGCCCCTAATGACTTTTGTTTGACTTTGGGAACTAGGCACCCGGACCTACTGATGTTCGAGGTAAGTGATTCCTTTGTCCACCACTCCTAACCTGTAAGCTTTGCTGACTTCTGCCACGCCTGTTTTGTGTATTTCTGTGTTTCTCAGGCGGATGCCCAGGACTCAATTTGTTAGCCAATTATGGATTTGTAAGTGATGCGATGTATATACTCTATAGTTTCGAATGTAAAATCTAATGGCTATGATGAGACACTTTGATCAATAGCTCCCTAGAAACGGGATTACCGATATGACTACATTATTATACGCAGCGGAAGAAGGTTTCGGGTAATTGATTTATATGAGCTGATCATTTCTCAAAGATTAAAGATTGGGTATTGATCATGTTTTTCATTAGCTTCTCGACAGACTTGGCTTCAATCTTGGTAGCCTTTGCTTTGAAAACATGCGTAGATTTGACGACGTAAGCATCGATTCTTTGAAGATTTTATCATATGGCTTTGATTATGCGTTCTAAGCGAGAATTTTATTATATTTCCTTGCTCGAGTGATTTAGTCTGAAAATGTCTATTGGTGACACGGATGCCAGGACCGATGGTCCTTTGACGTTTTTGTTAGGAAGGGCACCAGGATTATTCTCACCTACGACTCACAATGAATATGAAAGTTTGTAAAGTTCCTGTGGATATCTTTTTCTATCACTTGTATACATATCTGATAGTAAGTCTGGTATAGTTGACGGATCTCTAGCAACGGACGATGCCTACTTCGCGGGGGGGCAAACAGATCAATTCAATGGCTCGAGATGGAGAACCTGGTATCAACTAGCAGGTCAGAGTTGTTTTACAATCAAGAGTATCAAGATTGATCTCCAGGCTCATCTAATCGTTTTCAGATACCAAGTATAACGGGACCATGCCCGTTGGTTGGAACGGAGATGTCAGGTTTATGCAGGTGCATTCTCGTCTCTGACTGGCTGAATATGATGGTACCCAAGGGTTGATTCCATGTTTGCGATTTGACATCATCAAGTACAATTTGTGTCGAAACTCAAATCCTCAGTGCCATTGGGTAAGTATCACATCATAAAATATGTTTGAACGGTTAACAAAATGGATCCCTTTGAATCGCTCCATAGGCTGTAGTAGACCAGTAAGAGATTTCTTAGGTGTCAAATTTTGCTTGCGAAAACTTACTGGAGTTGCATTTATCAGGATTGCGTTCTATATCGCCCAATGCTTGGTTCCGACTATCATGCCGTCAGCTGGAGCGGACGGACTGCCCGGACCAGCATTGTCAGATTCCATCAATCAGTTCATGGGGATAGTGAAACAGTCCGATGGGACTTTTACTCGTGGGCATTCGCATTTCCCTCCCGGTCCAGAGGGCGTTTGGTATAGACGAACGATACCACTCACTGTAGGTTTCAACCCTCTGAACGATATCATAGATACCTAATTGAAGTCATTTTGTTTTCCAGACGGCCGAGCTCGCTGTAGCTGGTGCTCTCTCGTTGACATCTCGTGAGTTTCAAGTTCAATTTTTATCTTACTCAAATTTCCTCTTTCGTTTATCTTGACTGAATCCAATTCTCTTCAGAGTAAGCCATGTTCTCTTCTTCACCGGTATCCATCTTTATACCTCCCTCGGTACCCGCATTCTCTTCTCTTGTACACACATTCATGCCTTCTTATGATCACAAATTCAAATATCCTCGCTCCAACAACCAGTTTGGTAAGTCTCTCTATGTTTCCTTCCAGGCTCATTTGCGTCACTTGAAATTAATCTACTAAATCATGTCGATAGCCTGAATTTGGCTCTAATGATGGAACACTCGGGAATTGGAATGCTGACCCAACTCAACTGCCAAACGTGATCGCGGGACCAAATCTAGCCTGTTTTTTATTGGACTCGGTCAGTAGGATTTTACGTGCTTCAGTCCTTTTTTGATGTATATCCCGAGTTCCGAACTCATCCCATTCTTTGTTCATTTTCTAGGCTCTTGATCCCAGTGGAACCAGATTTCAAGGAGTTGCTCAAACTTCTCTCAATACATTGCTCCAATTTCTTCTCACGCCTGTCAAGAGTCAACTATCGTGTAGTTGATCGTTTGACGACTGTTTTTATCAAATCCATTTCTCTCATTTCTCATTTGCGTAAGGTTTGTATCGATAGGTTACATATTTAGTGGTCCTGATTGTTAGTTTTTTCTTTTGAATTCAAGAAGATTCTTCGTGATAAGTTGAGGATGTTCTTCGAAGTTCAAGTAAAATTTCGGCATCTACCTTTCTCTTATCCAATTGTGATGTAGTCTTTGGAATCTCAAGGGAGAATCCCAAAACATGGAATAAGATACTTTCCCATCACGAGGAGCGATTCAGTGATTCAATGTACTCGACTCCGCCAGCTGACTTGTTCATGGATTCCAGTTTAAAAGATAAAATTTTCGCGCTGTATCATCAGGATGATAGGCTATGATAGGCCACTCTTACACCACCCAAATTATCATGTTCTAAGTTGACAAGGGAAATGATGGGTATGGATTTAGAGATGCGAGGGCTTAAGGCGTAGATCGTTTGTTGTTCTACGCATATTCAAAGCTCTTACGTAAACCACATCAAGCGCAATCCACTTCCATGATTATGTAGTGGTGAAAGTGGCGGTGAAAGTTGCATATGACTATTGCGATTTGCTGTGATGGTGCGTCCGCTGACTGAGCCCGCTGCGCTGCCATGCTGTCGACTCCTCCCATTCTCCTATCTCCACTCCAAACTGGACATGAAAATATCTTCGAGAGGTAAACATAAAGCTCGCCACAGAGCTGCAGCCTTGCAAATCAATAAGCACTATGCCATGAACCTACATCGATTACTAGAGTCAACTTGGAGCTATTTTTGGCTTTTAAATCTTGGAGTGAAAACCATTCGACCGTCATTATTGCGAGCCCACTGTGCAGCGCGCTGTCGACTGCGCCCATTCACAGATGTCAACCTTTAACTCCATGCTGGTTCAAGACATTTGTGAGAGGTGAATTCAAAGTTGAAAGGATCGTTGCAAGTGTGACTCTGGAAGCACGATTTTATACACGTAAAAACTCCGACTCGAGCACTAGGTCCAGCATGAGCATTTAAAAGGCCAACTTAAACATTTCATTAGACTTGTTCAAATATAAAAAAGAAATTTGAAGTCCAAGATTTGAAGCAAAGAATTTGGAAGTATGTTATTGCATACAGCCCGTAGAGACGGGTGTATGAGATTAAGAAGCGACAGCAAGCAAGCCAATTTCTATTCGACTTGAAATTTTTAGGGGGTCTCTCAAAGTTGGATTTGAAGTTTTGGAGTTAAAAGATTTGGAACTCTCTTGCTAGTGACATCGCTCATTTCAGCCTGTCACACATTAATACAGCCTAATACAGCATGAGAGTAGCGCGAGGGTAGGGGTATGACCCGGCCCTGGACCCGTCCGGCCGAGTCTGCCCGAGGGGTTTCCAAGTCATCACGGTGCTCGGCCCGGTGCCCTAGCCCTAACTTGAGGATAGAGCCAAAAGGCCCTGTTCCAGGGCCACTCGGGGCCGGGGCCGCCGTAAAATTCACCGCCAAAGAAAGGGTGAAAGGGTTGTTGAGGCATCTTCTACCCCTTGGGCCCTTTGTCGTACCCTCGCACCCTTTCACACCCCCTTGTTATCGATTTTCATCCACCCCAATGTCACGACGAAGCCTTCGTCGTGAGGTCACTGATCCGCAACCAACCACCAATCCACAAACCAACAACATGTCCACCACCTCCAGTACCACTTCTAACTCCATTGCACCATCTGACTCGGTCTCGGCAGTGGCTAGTGCCGTCGAATCCGAACATACTGCCACCAACCGTACCTCTTGGGTGTGGCAGTATTTTGCGACTGTTACGTTCAGGGACGGCACCACCTCAAATGTCTGCCGTGCCAACAAAGGTCGTGTTGACAAGGTTCCAGACTTGGAAGCGCCTGTTGTTGTGTGTCAAGAGCCGATTGCCATCGATAAGACTGGAAGTACGAGATCAATGAGCCGCCACCTCTTGCGTGCTCATGGCATTGCTGCTCCGATTGACACCTCCCAACAAACCCTCACAGTGTTTTCTGCAAATGGAAAAACTAGTAGTGTAAGTCGTTCTGCTATTTTTTCATCTCTTTATTCATCTTTTCTAATATCTTTCTTTTTTTTATTCATCTTTTCTAACATCTTTCTTTTTTTTATTTTCAAGATGGGATCTCTCAATAGGCGAAACCTCACAAATGCAGTCATTCGCCTAATTGTCAATCAAGAACTCCCAGTAGCTCTTGTTGATGCCCCATCCTTCCGCAAACTTTTATCTTGGATCAACCCAGCTGTTGCCCCTATCTTATCGAAACAAACCGCCATCACCGACGGTATCATTTCTCAATTCCGACTTGCTCGTAACCGTCTCACTGCCATCTTTGCTTCGTTGGACTATATCAGCATCACTTGTGATGCTTGGACTTCACCTAGTAGCATACCGATGCTTGGAATTACGGCACACTGGATGACCGACAACTTTTTGATGCAATCGGTGGTTTTAGCTTTGAAGGAAATCAATGGAGCCCATACTGGTAAAAACATGGCGTCTCTCATCAAGCACACATTAGATCAATTCAGTATCACCGAGAAACTTCACTGCATTACTGCTGATAATGCTTCAAACAATCAAACCATGGGTCGAGAACTTCAACTGCTCATACCTCATTTCAATGCCGAGAAGAACCTCCATGGCTGTGTCGCCCATGTTATCAATTTAGTCGCCAAAGCCGGAATCTCGATTTTCGACAGCAAGACTCCTCCTGATCCTCTCAGTGCTTTAGATCCTCAACTACCTCAAGATAATGATATTCCCAATGGTACTAATTCTTTGATTGAACCTACTCCGCATCTCGAAGTCCACTCAATCTTAACTCGAATTCGCGGCTTCCATAAAAAAGTCCGATTGAGCACCCAGCTCAAACAGGCTCTGGACCAGTGCATTGCCACTTCCTCACAGCCTCGAAAGGTCGGACTGATTCATGAGGTTTCAACTCGATGGTCTTCAACTTTTTATTCTCTCGAGAGATTCTTTGAACTCAAGAAGGTCCTTCAGTATTATTGCAATATCAACGATAGTTTAGAACCTTTCACCCTAACCGAAGACGAATGGATCTTGGTTGGCAACTTAGTCAAGTTTCTCCGACCTCTTGCGATCGTGATCAAGGAGATTGAAGCTGAAAAGTATCCCACTTTCTCACTAGCAATGCCTGACTATCAATGGCTCATTGAAAAACTCGAAAAAGTAAGTTTTCTTGCCATATTAACTCGTTGATATTTACACTAGTTCTAACCCATCTTTTTACCAAACATAGGCATGGGCCGCATCTGAGTGTACCAACTTGAAGGCAGCAATTCATCCTATGGTCAAGAAATTAGTCCGATATTCATCATTAGCTTTGAAGAAGCCTGTTTACATATGTTCCCCAATTCTCGACCCTCGCCGAAAGCTCAACGCTGTGACTGCTTTTACTTTGGAAGAACTTGGATTCGACAAAGATCAACTCATAGAATACTTTACCGAGCAAGCTCGCAAATTCAAACCCCCTCAAGATCTTGATATTGAAATCGTCGAATCAGACCCTGTGCTCGAAGATGACGATGATAGACCACACCACTTTATCAAACGACGCAAATGTATTCAACTTGAAGACGAAGTGAGGGAGTACCTTCTTGCCCCTCTTGTGGATGAACGTACCGATGTATTAACCTTCTGGAAAACAAATCACACAAACTGGCCAATTCTCTCTCGGATGGCTATGGTCATGCTTGCTATTCCTGCTTCAGGTGGCCCTTCAGAAAGAATTTTTTCAGCTGGAGCAAGGGTGATGTCTGATAAACGATCACAGATGACCAATCAGAACTTTGAAGCTCAGATTTGTCTCAAGTCGTGGGGGATGATTCTTTCCATGTAGTTTGGCTTGTCTTTTTTTTACTCTAAAGTTATTTAATTTGTTTCTCTACACTCGTTAACAGTCTTATACTTGTTTATCATTTCTTTACGCTCTTTTGTTTCCTTTTTACAATGTTTTTTTTTGTTTTTGTATCGGTCTATTTTGCTCAATTAACTTGGTTTGTGCCCTTCAACCCCCTCACAAACAGCTGGCCCGCCCCGGGCCTAAAGGTAGGCCCGACCCAGTGCCTGCCCGCTAGCTATCTGAGGCACCTCGGGCCGAGGCCGGCTTTGGCCCGGCCCCAGGGCCGGACCCGAAATTGCGTTGCCGGGTCATACCCCTACGCGAGGGAGGTGGTAGATATACTGTGACATGCTTGGATAGGAAAGATACGGTTTAAAAAGGTTCAAATCCCAAACTTCAAATCCAACTTTGAGAGACCCCCCAAAAATTTCAAGTCAAATAGAAATTGGCTCGCTTCGTACATCTCATACCCTTCATGTACAGACTGTAGCAATAACATAGTTCCAAATTGTTTGCTTCAAATTATGGACTTCAAATTTCTTTTTTATATTTGAACAAGTCTATTGTTGGAAAACGTTGAGTCCTTGGCAAATTTACACATTTGCTACATTATTAGTATCTCCTTCCGCTATTTTCTACGTACACCGACAAAGGAAAAATGAGGACTGAGTTGTTAAGATCGGTTGTCACAGTTATCAGCGCTTTCGCTACACACGTAGTTGCTTTTCCGCAATTTGCTAGTCAAGTTAGTCAAGTTTACTCAGCGCGTTGATCGCTTCTTAGAGAATATCAACTGAGATGGAGTTATTCTCAATCTAGATTCGCGCGCGCTCTGGTGTTCAATTTCCTAGCGCTTCACATTTTGAAGCCCGAGGTACGCAAACGAAGTTTCCGAGAATACATAGAGTTGAGCTGATGTTGATGTACCTTGTTAGCCACGGACGGCTTGATTCAGGATGTAACGTCGGCGATTATCAATCCCAGTGAGAAGACAGATTTACATTGAAATCCCTTGTTATCTGACACTTCCATTTCAATCATCAATACGTTAGGTTTTCATTTTTCATCTTTTTCTTTTGTCATTTCGTAAGTGTTTTCATTTTTATTCTTTTTGTTCTCTACTTAAGTATTATTCTTGTATTGGGATCTTTTAGCTTATTACTACAACTATTTCTCCTAACACACTGAAAAATTCCTATACTGGTTACTAAACTACTTGCTATGTTTACTTAGGTTTTCTAAGTCTCATAGCGTGTGTGGGGGGGGGGCCTATGGCCTGCTGGTCTCGTAACCGTATGGGCTCTCTGCGTGGTAAGGTGCAGGGGTGGGTGGGAGGAAAAAGAAAAAGTTTCAAGATGAAAACCTTGATTACCTTCTAGTTGGGTTTTGTTTCTGGTTATGTTTGTTGAGGTTGTTTAAGATGAGGTTACAGATTTTTTCCGAGGGAATTTCAAATCTGTAATTTTCTCTTCTACGTGTTCGCCTTCAGCTAGTTCGGTACCGGGTCTACCATGGTCCGTTTATCTCTCATTCTATGGAACTGTACAGGTGCCGTCGTTCCTTTGGGCACCTGTACCATTCCATTTCAATCATCAATACGTTAGGTTTTCATTTTTCATCTTTTTCTTTTGTCATTTCGTACAGCCATTCCGATATTGCTTGTCGCTCTGTTTTGAAAAAGAAAAAGTTGAAACCTAAGTTTTTACTTGATAAAACTTCAAACTCAGCTGTAATTCAAGGCAATTTCAGGTTTTAACCGGTTAAAACTTAGGTTTCAAGCTCACAAACTTTTTCTTTTCAAAAGGGTGCGACAACCAATATCGGAATGGCTGTAAGTGTTTTCATTTTTATTCTTTTTGTTCTCTACTTAAGTATTATTCTTGTATTGGGATCTTTTAGCTTATTACTACAACTATTTCTCCTAACACACTGAAAAATTCCTATACTGGTTACTAAACTACTTGCTATGTTTACTTAGGTTTTCTAAGTCTCATAGCGTGTGTGGGGGGGGGCCTATGGCCTGCTGGTCTCGTAACCGTATGGGCTCTCTGCTACCTGTTCTCGGGACTTAACGTCCGGAGCCTGCGGAGAGCCCCATTCGGTATGGCCCGAGATAGCTATTGGTTGCACTGTCTGTCGATCTATTTCCATTCTCCCCCGAATACCTATGTATCTCACGAGTCATTCAATTCAAATTCAACTTACTCTACGTCTTAGTTTTCCTTCGCTCAATCATCAGTCAGTTTGCTCAATCATCGGTCTTCTCATTACAACTACTCTCTAATCGGTCATCGTACATAACTCTCATTTCGTTAACAACTTCAGTTCTCAGGATATTACCTCGACACGTTCAACCGTTTACTTTCTCCTCGTCTTCAATCCATTTCTTTCTTTTCTATCTTTCCCTCATCTTTCTTTAACTCCGTCTTCATTTCTTTCCATATATACGTAGCGTCTTTTACATCGTCTTCCGAGTACTTCCTTAGATATAGCTGGTAAGCTTTCGATTTCCACCTCCCTAATCTCATTATATCTTCTAGTGGTTGTGCATTGTTCCACTTAAACGTCGCTCCTCCAACTCTAAAGGAGTGACCAGATAGCTGATTTTTCCCGTCATACTTTTTCCATACCTTCCGGTAGATACTCATTGCTACCAATTTCGTTAGAACCTCAAGTTTTCCTTTTGTATAGTATGAGAACGCTGGGAGGTGTATCAAAGGGGTTGTTGATTCATCCAACAGTCTCTTCATTGCTGCCCATGGACAGAGGAGCGAGGGTATTCTGTCCAATTGGATCCATTGTACTTCTCCCGGTTGGGCCGTCTTCGCTTGATATAGAGCTATCTTCATGTAAGTGTTGCCACTATCTGGTAAGATGTCTTTAAATGCTATTAATCTCTTCATTTTATCATCTGACACTAATTCACCCAGTCTAGCCATTCCCCAAAACGCCACCAACGCTACAGTCAACGCTATCCTCTCTCTTTGGTCGCCTATTGATAATTCAGTTGCTAGTTCCGCCAAATGCCTCAATTGAACGGGTTGCTTCACTTTCATTTGACTGGCGTTTCTTTCTTTCTCTCTCGCGTCCGCTATGCTTGACGCCTTCAACAACAGCTTCACCGTCTTGTCGTTTTCAGTTGGGAATGGCAAATTGTGGAATAGATGCCACGATCGAATGCCGGTTATGTATTTCGTCAGTGTTTTGGCTGAGATCTTATGTTCTTCCTTCATTTCCTCTAGTTTCCCGTCTTCTTCCAAGTCCATATGACATTGTCTTCCCGCCCAAACCACAAACTGCCACAACCGGTCTTCGTCTAAAGGTAAGAGTTGTTTCCGTTGGATGTTCATTGCTTCTCCAAACCGTTCCAACTTCGCCATTGCAGTACTATAATTTTCTGACGTTGCCTTTGTCCAACTCCCACTTAATAACCTGACTTTTACTTTATCGTTTCTCCAATCGAAGTTCCTAAACACACATCCGTAAACATAAGCGTTCGTCAGTTTTTAGGTCTTTCTTATTTCCTTGTTTTCCCAATTCGGTTGCTGCCTTTTTTTTTTTTTTTCCACTTACCCTTCTACATCTTTTAAGAAATATTGAATTTTCTTCTGATTAATCACCATGATTGTGTCAGTTCCTCTCTAATACTTCTCTCAAATCGTTAGGTATGGTGATTATGATTTCTGACCGTTCTTCGCCTTCTTCTCGTATGCCTCTAGATAAATTGTCGGCTTTATTTTCTCCGGATGATACCCTCTTAGCGACGATGTTGCACTCCAACCTCCTCAATTCGCGTTGAATGTACTTCCACTCTTCGTTTACCAGTCGGTTTCTCGATTTATGTTTCTTTATCACTGCTTCTGTAGTGGTATTGTCGGTATAAACGATGAAGGATCTGCCTTTGGTTGGTAGCAGTCGTTCCAGTACCAGAAGGCCTAATCAGACAGCCACAGTTTCTATCCAAGCTATGTCGCGGGCTTTGCTTCCTTGTGACAGTCCTTGTGTTTTCCAGTTTTCGAGGAGCTTTGTTCGACTCCACCTTTTGCCAATTCGGATTCCGATTCCAAATCCAGTACTTGCGTCTCCTACCCACTGAACTTCTGTTGGTTCTACATCTGGTTTCAGCTGCAGCGCTTTAAATTCTTGTAAGTTCATTTTCCATTCCCGTAATTCATCCTTCACTCCTTCTGGTAACATTCTCTTAGCATTAACGTTGAACCACTCTTTATTGAATTTATATATATTCCATAGGTAGCATTTCAATTGTGGGAGTATATATGTCATATGGCTTAATTGGCCTACCATTTTTTCTATCTCTTTCTTTGAACAGCCATTTTCTCTTCCCAGTAAGTCGTTTAATTTATCTATTCTCTCTTGCTTTTTCTCCTCCGGTAATCTAACGGTTTTTGTTGTTCCATTCCAAATAAAACCTAGGTATTTTTGTTCTTCCAACCAGTCTTCAAATTTTTCAGTATTGGATTGTACTCCCATCGCTTTACTAACTTGAATAACATCTGCCATGTTTGTCGTGTCTTCCAGCTTTTTGACGAATAAATTATCGTCCACCCACCTGAATACCCTTTCTACTTTGAATAGTTTCATTATAATATCCTTCCATGCATCCGCCATCCAACCAAAAGTACCACACCCAGCTACTCCGCCAAAGGGTATTCGTGTGTCTATCCATATATTACCGTGAAAGTCTTTTATGGTTAGGTATTTCCATTGGGATTGATGTGTGGGTCCTTGCCTGTAAGCTTTCAACCAATCTACTATTGCTAGTAATAATTTGACTTCCATGTTGTTCTTGAAGTATTCTGCTACTTCATTAAAATCATCCCAGGTTGTCGCAAAGTCATTCTTATCGACAAAGGAATTAACGGACGGAATCAGGTCATCATCGGAATTGTATTGTAAGTCTTTTATAAATTCACTGGCACCGTCAGATTTCTTCCTTTCTCTTGCTTCTTCTTCGTCTGATTCATCATCAGAACTTTCTACCTCCTTCTTCTTATATCAAATTTGATGTCTCTCTCTAGGGTACGACAAGTCATTAATCATCCTCAAAGACCCGTCGTTATTCGTAACGCTCCCCATTGGATTGGATCGAAAGAAACCCCATCTTTCAGAAACTGCTTCGTGAGTAAATGGACCGTATATCCTTCCCAGCTTCCTTTCTTTATACAGGTTCTTCATGATCTTGTCCTGTACTAATTTGGCTGATTTATGATTTTCAGGCGTGAACCATTTCCTCTCTCCTAAAGTATGTTGAGGTATACCTTGGTTAAATCCATTGTTGATTCCTAACCAGACTTTGTTCCATTTTTCTTCCAGACCGCAGTCTTTTAGTAACAATCTCCATTCCTCTTTATGCATCTCACACTTTACTTCCACCGGCCACATATTTTCAGCTGTCGGATCTTTAAGCTCATATTCATCATCTCTTCCACTCTGGTCTTCAGTACGGGCGGCAAATTCGGCAAATTCATCTCTCATTGTGATATCTCGGTCATGATTCAAAACAACATTCAAGCTAAATTTCACGCAAACACAACGGTCGTATAGATAAAGCAATGCTTACATCAGTTACGTTCACAAAACAATTTGTTCAATTTTAATGAAAAAGGCACAAAGAGAGAATCAAAAAATAAAAACCAAAGACATCAAGGAGAAAAAGAAAAAAAAATATTGTAAAGGCCAGTTCTTTAATCTCCTCATCCGTGTTTCACACAATCTATTTTTCTAACACATCCTCTTTTTTTTTTTTTTTTTTTTTTTTTTTTTGGGGAAATACTTGATAACATCTCATTCGATTCAACTTACTTTGATCCTGATGCTGCAGGTGGACCACTCGGTTTGTTTTGACTATTGCTCCGTACTGCCATGTTTTTATTGAAGCTCCCATAACCTATCACAGGTCTCTCATTATTTTGATTTGAAAAACTTCCACCCTGGTTTGCAAAGTTTCCGTTTTGGTTCATGAAACCTCCTCTACCGCTTCCGTTTCCGTTGAAGTTATTAAAGTGATTTCCTCTTCCTCCTGCGTAATTTCCTCTTTCTCCGTGATAATTATGGTAAGGGTGATTATTCATGTTACGATGTTGGTTATTGAAATTTGAATTAGCAAAATAGTTTTGATTATTTGACATATGTTGGTTATTTTGTCTATTTCTTTGATAGTTTGGATCGAAGAAGTTTCCTTTATAGCCACCTCTTACGTTTCTCATTGCACCACTCAAAGTTCCAACTGACTGATTACTTGAATTCTGGTTCCAAACGTTTCTAGTACGCCCAGTTATAATTTCTGCTTGCGCATCTATCATCGCTCCAGCCGAGTCCCAAGGAGCAGTTGCTGAGTAAACCAAGCCATCTGTTGGACACACGTTTTGCATAGGTCCTCCTAAGACGTAAGGGTTGTCATCATAATCATAGTCACCGAAGTTTTTCGAGTCTTTCTCGGCTTGATCAGCTAACTTCTTGTTCAGCGTTCCTACGTCAGCCATTGAACCGCATTCTAATCGGTTTTCCCATACATTCCTTCTATGAGTTATGTCATAACGCATTGCTGGTGGCCACTTCCCGTAGCAATCGATTTGGATTTGGAGTACATTGTTCCGGTGTGCGATTAGTCTAGGTGCTATTGGTGAGTTCTTTTGTCCATCTAATATATCATATTTCATCTCGTGATATTTCACCATTAAGTTGTATCTTATTGACCATTCAGCAAATGTTAATCTATACTCGTTTAAGACCGGTGAACCAATATATGGGATAACGTCTGAGCTACAGCTAGTCGGTTTGGCACGCCTCGATCTCATGAAATTTGCGTCTTTCAACAACCACTTCGGACAAAAGATAGAAACTGGGACATGCATCGTCTTATTTATCATCAATTCATGCCAGTAGGCGGATAAGGCGGTCATATTGTGAGCTGTTTCTTCTCCTATCTTCATCACCGTATTAACATCTTTCTTCTTTCCTTGCTCCTTGGGGGTCTCAGATTTCGATGTCGGAACTTCGTCGTTAACTGCACTAAAATCTAAGTCGTGTAACTCGATTTCCCACTGGTCTGTATCATATTTAATACACCACTTTTCATATTCTTGATTTAACAGATTAAATTGTATCAAATTACTATTCAATGCAGCTAATCTCAAATTATCTACCCATTTTCTGTGCGTTAATTGTAAGAAAGATGAATTATCGGACGTCTGGTTCACTCTTCCTATACATTTCCAACAACGATCACGTATAAGAACCTATTGTCAGTATCATTCTTTTTAAATCTTTTCCTCTTTTTTTTTTTTTTTTTTCTGTGTTGAGTCAATCTACTTGAGATTTCCTTGTCCAGTTTTAGATTCATCTTTGTTGGGTCAATCTGCAGTGCAGATTTCCTTGTTCAGATATATTCATATTATCTTTGTTGGGTCAATCAGATACTGATTTCCTTGTTCAGATATTATAGCAGTTTCCATTCTCAATGCTCTGATGGATAAATTGTGGTCTTGACTTTTATCATACGAAATGGACTTTGGAAAAAAAGGGAATTTGAAAAAGGAGAAAGAAGGAAAGATAGAAAGGTGATAAAGAAAAATAGAAAGGGTGATAAAAGGGGCTGATCTCGCCGCATACTAACCTAGTCCTGTCATGGTTCCTTGTACGTTGTGGTGATCAATTTATGGGATCAATTAAAAAATTCACAATTACCAGTTTACCAGTTTATCAGCAGGATTCAGCAGGAAAGAAAATCAAAATGGAGGTTTTTGATCAATTGAAGCTCTTGTAGGCTTATGTATTGGTCATTAGGTCAACATTACATCATTTTATTTCACATTATATATTAAGATCATTATAGTTTACTTACAAATTTATTACAAAAAGAAAGAAAGAAAAAAAACATAAGAAAAATTCGAAATTATAGGTATAAAGGGTGGAAAATGGTTTTTAGGTTAGTAAAAATAAAGTTATGGGTATTATGAGGTTAGAATATGAAAGAACAACATTATATGATACTATGACAATTTTAATCTTCAAGGTTGATAAGTAGTAACAGAAGTTATTAGGAATAAAGCACTTTTTCGAAGTTGGTAAACAAGAGGTACACGTGTAGTTTGGTTGTGTAATAGTGGTAGTGATGGAATTTAAGGTTGCCAAGAGGATTTTCCGGGATTTTTAAGGCTATAGATGATGATGTAATATTACATGAGCAAGAAAGGCTTAGTAGTAGCTGTGAAAAGTGAAGAAAATGGGTGAAATTCGTGGAAAATGGAGGTTTTCAGCTAATTACATATGTCAAATGACGTCAGAATAGGATGGTAGATGGCTCATTCAGCGCAGAAGAGTGGATTACCATAATTGACCAATCTTTAAAATCATTTAGTAACAAGAGGTGGTATGAAAAAAAGGTCTTAAGGGCAAATAAAGAATTGGTG